ATAAAATTTAAACATTAAACTTGATTTTTGGGTTAAAATGAATTCTAAGTGAGTGTTATGAAACTAAAATTTACACTTAAAAGTGAACTTTTATTTATTATTTATTTCAAACTGACTTTAAAATCGGGCGCAAGAATAATGCATAATTTAGGTTATGTTACTTATGCTTTTTATGATATAAATCCACTTTTCTCTTTGTAGTAGCTTTGTGCTTCGAAGTTGGAAACGAATAAAACTTAAATTGACAATTTTTTGTTGTATTTTTACAATTTATAAAACAGCATTTCCTAAATTCCATTTTCTTCAGTGACAGAAGGTGTAAGTAAACAAACGAATATGAAATATGACAATTGACAATTTGACAATATGAATTTATGAAATCTATGAAATGTGCAGTAAAAAATTCAAGATTTCTCCGCTACTCGCGCACGATCGTTTCTCGTATCCCCTCCAAGTACTTGCACGTCGCCAATAAAACATTAGAATGCTAGAAATAAAAACGAACAAGGAAGTAAGGTGACATTATTAAGAAATAATATAGGAAAAACAATATAAGACAGACCCCAGAATAATATTTTTAAAAGAATAATTAAACAAAAAATTCAAATTATCATAATATACGGATAGATAAAAAAGTTGCTGAAGAAAAGAAAATAAAAGAGGCTAAAAGTACAAGTAAAGGAGAAGAGCAAGACCAAGAAAACTCTGGGAATAAAAGAACTAAAAGAAAAAAACAAATAACAATTTAGATGAAATAAAATTTTGAAGGACTTTAAAGTAATTAGAAATTGAATTAGGAGATAAAGTAGATAAACTCGATACCTATAATCGATAAAAGGGTACCTGCAGAAGAAGAAATTTTTACTATCAATTCTGATAAGCAATTATTAAACATAAAGTTCTGCTATACTTCATTTTTTATAAATGTAATATCATATGTTTAGCATATATTTGTTTTGGTAGCAATTAAACTTTTTTGTACTGTACACGTTTAACATAATTACAGCTGCATCAATGCCTAATGCGCGTAATGAACCCATACATCTGGTAAAATTAATAGAGCCCTAACTGAAAATGTATTTTTAATTTGTAACTACTTGATTGTCCTCTGGGGGCTCTTGAGAACTGGTACAGGTGACGTAAATAATTTAACACTGGGGATTCATACGGTTACAAACACGTGGCTGTAGGCATCTACCGAATGTTTTTAGTTGAAATATATATGGGTGGTCACTGCCCTCGATTCCGCACTCGATCTAATAACAATTAATTTTATTATATGAAAAGTATTATGCCGTTATGATACGGCAGCTGTTTGTAAATACATTTACAATTAAAAAAACTAATATTTGTAACGGAAGTGGAGGGGATACAGATATCGAATATAAAATTCAATTAAAAAGGAGTATACTCTCAACTCTCTACACTTGGGTTTTGTTGACTTTCTTTTTTATATTTTTATTTTTAATTTTGTTTATTGGTATTTTATAATATTAATTTTTTTTCCTTTATATTGATCTCTAAGAACATTTCTGCCATTATTAGTTTAGATTATGTTTCTAGTTTCACTTCTGTTTGTGTTTGTAAGTTTATGATTTTTGTTCTGAATATTTGTACACATAAAACATAATTTATTACAATTTTTCCATTTCAATATTTTGCCACATATGTACAGTGGAACTTGGTTATTCGCTCCGTGCGTGACTGATGCGACACCTACCGCCTTCATCTGACAATTTGGGAATCCCAATTTTCAGGTTAAACTTATGACATATGTTTGACATTGTTAAATACATGCGAAATTGACAATTATTAATAAATTAGTTTTTTCAGCTATATTTTAAAGTTTATGTACAAAATAAATGTAGTATTAAAAACTGGGTTTCTCAAAATTCATCATAATATACCTTTTCAACTCCAAACGGAAAAGAAAGGGAAAAATCTAGTACTGGCAAATCAAGTTTTTCACGCAAAAGAGCATATAATTAAAAACAATAATAGTAAAAGTTAGGATATAAAAGCTAAAGTCATCTGCAGTTAGCTTGTAGCCTTATGAAATATCATTCAAGGTAAATTATTTAAATTTTTTCTATTTCAATTGCATAAAAATGAAACTATGTGATATTTACTTTTTCATATTAATAGCACGAATTCATCTTTTTCTTTTTTCTAATTTATATGTAATTTTTGGGAACCTATGAAAACTACAATCACCATTTTTGCTATTATTAGCACAATTAAATACGCAACGTGTATTTGCACGCATTTTTGATAAAATTTATGCGTAAAAATATTTTGTCCAATATTCCCATTTTGTCATATTTCGCCGCTACGCACGCTGGCATCGTTTCAATGTATCCCTACCATGGTCACGCACGGAGCGAATAGCGTCATTGAAGGGTCCAATAAAAAAATGACGCTATATCAGAGTGACGTTAAAAAAGAGGTTGAGAAAAATAAAATTTTAATGAGGAAAATATTATTACAGCATTATTGGGTATAGTAGATATATTATTTGTTAATTACTCTGGGCCTAAACATGATAATTTAACATAGTTTACGATATACCGAAAATATAACATTTACTTAAAATGACATTTACGTCAAATTAAAAAAAAACAAGAATCATTTAAGGATAAAAAAACAATTTAAAAACAAAACATATTATGTATGTCTATGAAACTTACATTGTGTAAAAAAGTTCTATTGCTGAAAAAAGTCTGTTATTTTCTTTTGCACAACCCTTTCCGAAAAATAAAGTTTTTCTGTTGTTTCCTTAATAAGCTGAGCTGCTTCTTTGGTATTTGTGGATGCCTCCCTGAACTGGTAAAATCTGGATATGGTTTCAGCAGCTCTCATTGCTTCTTGGATTGTAGGACAAGCAACGATGTCTTCTTCTTCAGCTTCATCGATATCCATTTCCACGTTTTGCACCAGTTCAACAATTTCTTTATCACTTAGGACTTGAAATGTTTCCACCTCATCGTCTACTGAAATGTAGGAGTCAAGATCAGTTCTGAACGCTCCCTGATTCACATTAAATTTTTGTATCCACTCTGACAAAGGCATTTCGTCATCTTTATCAACGTCCTTAACATTGAGAGAAGCTACAGTCAATTTTGCTTGACGAAAACACTTATGAATTGTCACTGACGCATTGTCTAAAAACTGAACAGCATCCAGGATGGTAATGTTCACAGGTTCTCCATTATCCATACAAAAAATCATTCTTTTTAAAAGCTGTTTTCGATAGTGGCACTTTAAACTTCTTATGACTCCCTGGTCCATAGGCTGCAAGACACTCGTGCAGTTGGCTGGTAAGAACACTAGATTTATATTGGTCAAATTAAGTTTGGGATGGGCTGCACAGTTGTCAACTAGGAGAAGAATTTTTCTTTGTTTGAAAGAGAGTTCCTTGTCCCACTTTCTCAATTCTTCTTCAAAAATAGCAGAAGTCATCCATGCTTTTTTATTGGCTGTGTAGTTTACAGGTAGTGTTTTAATGTTTTTGAAACATCTAGGATGTAAACTTTTCCCAATAACCAAAAGCTTTCTTTTCCCTGTACCTGTCATATTTGCACAAACAAAAGCCGTCACTCTTTGCTTGAAAAGTTTTCCACCGACAAATTTTTGATTTTTGAAATTTAAAGTTTTGTCTGGCATTAATTTATAAAAGACACCTGTCTCGTCACCATTAAAGATATCTTCATCTTTGTATGGTTGCCTTTGTTGTGGCCATGTGTTTTGTAACCAGTCACTTTCCTCGTCCACACATTTTGCCTCTCCAACAATTTTCGAGAAGGAAATTGAGTGCCTGGCTTTAAACCGATCTAACCAGCCGTTAGAGCATGTGAAATCTTCACCAAACAATTTTCCGAAATCTGCAGCTTTCTCCTTTAAAAGTGGTCCCGGACACAGGGATATCAGAACTGCGACACTGCTTGAACCATTTGAGTAGAGCTGAATCTACATCACCACGAATTCACTTCCTAATCTTTTTAACATTGTTTCCGTCCTCTTTAAAGGCTTTTAAAATTTTGTCCTTGTTTTTATGATTGAGCCGATAGTCGAATTAACAAGTCCAAATTGCCGGCATACATCAGCAATTTTTCGACCACTTTCAAATGCTCTTATAACACGCACTTTTTCTTTAATAGGCAAAACCTTCCTTTTAGTGCTACAACTTGCCATATTAAAAAATAAAAGCTAATTACCAAATTAAAATAAAAAGAAAAACAAAACGATCCGAACACAATTTCACGGTAGCGAAAATTTCTTAAACCGACTGTTCCGAAACAGAAAATTTGACTGTTAGGAGTGTTAGGACGGCACTGATAAATGCGAAATTATAAATTGTCAGGGTAACATAACTGTACACAGAAGGGATAATGGACCTTTCTACATTCTTTAAAGGAACAAATGCCGCAAAGCCAGAAACGCATTGCACTTTATTCTTCATAAAATAAAAAAAGGATAACCTACTATAAAATTTTATGACGCTATAACCGAGGGTTAGTTTATTTTTAGCCGATAAAACCGGGTTTTTAATAACGTTATGCAATAGTTTTTGACCGGACCTATTAAAAATTGACGTTATAACCGAGATGACGTAACTACCGAGGCCGTAATAAGCGAGTTCCACTGTATATCTGTCTCCTCCATGCCTGTAAACTTAAAGAAAAAGGTGTATATTACATGTATACTACCAGTTTGTACCTACGGCTTGGAGACAGTAGCCCTTACCAAAAAATCTGCTAAAAAATGAGAAATAACGCAAAGAGCAATGGAAAGAATCATGCTGGGAATATCTCTGAGAGACAAGATTAGAAACACTGAGATAAGACGTAGAACAAAGATAAGGGATATTGTGGAAGACGAGAAGCTGTCTGGCTTGATGACAGATGGTCTAAGCCAAAAAAACTGTAAAGCCAGACATTTTTTTTAAAGGCAGAGAATAGGAGAACTATGACAGATACTAGGATGTTAACAAATATTCGAATAAAGATTACATTATATAGAAAGATATTATTTTTTCACATGTTGCTAATTATTATTAATACAGACGACAAGTTCAAACACTTGGAATATATTATAAAACACAAAGCAAATATTAATATGTATTTTCCTAAAAAATATTATTGATATATTATACAAAGGAGAGAATGGGATATAATAATCTTTGACCAAAGTATTGTTCTTCTTCCTTAGGGTCTTCACGTCGCACATTCCATCTTTTATGAATAGCCTTAGCAGCTTCAATAGTGTTTCCTGAAATATAATAAAAACATTTAGTAGAATCATTGTGATTTTTTGAAAGCAAATTTGAACTTCATTATTTTTTATTTTTGTTGAATTATAATAAACATAAACATGTTCATAGAAAAGCAGCTTTTCAATAGTTCTAATTCGAGAAGATAATATAGGATCATATAGGTTCCTACTGACTGTTCACTCACTTACATTGACACTTTTTACTTCTTGCAGATGATTTAGAGGTGCCAGAAGTGACGAAAGTATATGTTATATGATATTCATATTTATTCTCATTGTCCTCCGATGTCTGTAGATCCCCGCATACAGGAACAAGACTGATATTCAATGGAATTTCGCCCAGTGTCCAAAGAGGATCGTTAGCGACCACGTGACGTGAGACCATTCAGTTTTTAGCACGATAGCTTCCATCTTAACTTACGGATTTTTGGCATCTGGTTTTCTTCATATTCTTGTTAGATAGAATGAGTAGGGAAAGAACACACGATGGGCTAACGATTTGAGAAGAAAAAATAAAAACTGGATGAGAGTGCCGCAGGATAGACGTAGTTGGAAACACGAGGAATAGGCATATATTCAGGAGTGGATTTTTAAGGCTGGACGATGATGATGAATATAATCTTTTATTTTTCCCTGCCAAATGTCTCATTGTACAATTTGAATTAAGAAAGGACCTACCTACTCTATCTACACCTGAGAAAGAGCTAGCCGAAGCTCTAACAATAAAATTGGCATCGTAAGTGTCGCTTTATAGTTGTATTACTGAGGTATGACTACCGTCATTTCTGGCACCCAATGAACTAGGTGGTGGCTTTAGTGCTACACATTGGTTGCTATTTTTTTCACATAAAAATTAAGTTAGTAATTAGCAATTAATATTAAATGATTGATAAACAAATCAAGTTCTATAATAATGAAGTCACAAAACGTTTAAATATTCAAAATACATTTACAAAGAATTAATTATTGACAATGAATGATTAAAATCGCACACCCCTGAATCCACAAGTTAAGGTAGGGCAGTGGAAGTATACGCATACGGTTCATTTGCTGATTAAATTGTGGTTATGACCTAATTTTCTTGATTAATTAGTTCATTTAGTCTCCAAGGATTAAGCTACATAAAACATTGCATGTACTAGAACGATTTTGTGGAAATGTGTAAAACTAGCTTAAAGCTTACGAGAATAGTTTCCATTCAATGAAATTTAAATTATTAAAATAGATCGATATAAACGATCAAAGGATAGCAAATTTTGTGTTGCGCGTCATATCTGTATATTTTGTGTAGACTGAACAATATGCTACAGGGCTGTAACATAAAACCCCTCGACATAGGTTGAAATAATAAAATCTATATGTGTAAAGGGAAGGGTGGAAGAGATAAGCAAAGAAAAAAAATAAAGAAAGAAATATGTTACAATACACTGATACACTTGCACCGTTGCTCGAATGTGCAGCGTTGCTCAATCGCTGCAGATAATGGACAGGGTCATTTAGGGAGGCAAAGAGCAGGTGCAATGTACGGCACAAGAAAGGAAAAAAGATAGGAAGAAAGCAATTGTTAAAGAAAACGGACGCCACTATTTTTAAATATTTGAATAAAAAAAAAACAGAAATGAGATGCAACAAACGTTAAATTTAGACAGACTGGTCGGATAATAGCGGTTTTTAAAATACATGACATCTCAAAGATTGTTATTATTTGGCATTTTTCAAAAAATATATCTAGGTCTAACGGAAATCTTTATTTGTGTAAAAATTTGCAAAGTTATCCTCATAATAACGAAATTATTGTGAGAATGAACGGCAGAACATTGATAAAATATACGGGATGTCTTAGGAAATTAGAAAAATAAGGAAAATAATAAAAATATTGGAACGTGGAGGCGTTTTGACATTTTAAATACCTTAAAATATCTGTGGTCGCAGAGTAAAAGGTCTTAAGTCAAAAATCATTGTATCGAGAAATACGAGTTTTAAATATTTTGGCATTTTTCCAGAATCATAACTTTAAAATCATTACTAAATGTAAATGTATGATTAATTGCAATAATCTCTGCAGTGCAAACTTGAGTCTGCGTAGGGAGTTTACTAGAGTATGAGTATTCAAAGTCAGGACAAAAAATACCAAATCCTGCTGAGCCCTTAATATCAACTGACCCATCTGTAAAGATTATAGTGTGAAGTGGATTGTCAAGTGAGATTCTTTGAAATTGAATTAATGCATGGTCATTACCTTTATTAGATTGCACATTCCTAATAGGGATAAAAGCTAATTGATATTCTAATTTAAAATTGAGGTACGGAAATAAGTCACTAGAAAATTAATTTGGGGTACGCTGGAATTTATTTATGATCGAAACTAAGAGGATAATACTTTTTTAAATTCCAGTAGTTATGATTTGATTGCATTGATATCTGTAATTGATTCAAGGCAGAAATTATTGGATTATTAATTAGCATAATATTTTTTAAAATGAATTTAGAATTAAGCCATTCCCATCTGTACTTGAGAGAAATTTGACCCCTTTCACCTAAAAATGCACGAATAGGGGTAGATCTCATACATCCTATTATGATACGAATACTCTTTTATTGTAATTTATCTAACCTGTTGATTAGCGCCTTAGGACAATCTGATAATATTTGACATCCTAAATGACTCTGAATCAAACCACTATATCACGAAATTTAGCTGTCACTGTTATTAAGGCAAATAAAAAAATTGACATATACTTTACTTTAACGTACAATATCACAAAATAGAGATTTAATTGAAAAGATTACCTGTTGGCTCAACTGGAAATACTGTACGATCAAAAGTAAATGGTTCTTCTGCTTTTCTAAACATTTCCCTCCTCGCAGCTGTTTCTGAAAACCATGTATTATTGACCAAACTGGAATTCATTCTGTTAATAAAGATTTCCCAACGAGGCTTATAATAATTAGCGACAATCCCTAAAAGTATAAAATTAATAATAAATTAGTAGAAACATCTCTGTAGTAATAATATGTAAAATAAAATTAAATATAATAATCGAAAGCTTTCAAGATAAGTCAGAATAATCATTTATTGAGCTTAGGGAATGGATTTATGTATATTTAAACTTTAAGTACTTGAGTTTCTGTGAATTAACTGTGATTATGGAATGAATGAATGAATAAAATATTAGCAATGGATAAAAGAAATCATTTGCGTTCGGTTTCCGCTAACGGAGGCACCTAGAAAATCACAACAAGTTGAAGTTGTTATCACTTCACTACCGAAACATTTGTATTAATATTGCTTTGTGATTCTTTTCCTAAACATCTACTGAAGTCATTAATACAATGATATACATAAACAATTCCTTTAGGTAAAAATAGATAAATAAATAAATAAATTTTTTAATATTTACCTGACCACTGTTTGTTAGCGTAGTTAATAATCTCTCCCTCTGGTCCCCATAATGTAATTTGGTTTCTTGCGTTATATTCAAATAGGTCACTTTCCTAAAATAACGCTTAATCAAATTTTTAAGTACTAGAAAATAAATATGTATACCTGTGAATTGTTTGCACAACTTTTTGCTGCTTCAATCCAAGGTCCTAACAAAAATGCTTTGTTTGTAGATAATATGAGTTCCAAATCATCGAATATTTCTTTAAAAACTGTGGCATGTTGACTATAACATAAGAAGGTAAAGTTTATATTTATATTTTTATGATATTTATACAGGGTGAGTCATGAGGAACTTTACATACCTCTACCATATGTAGAGTCCCTCAGGGAGCATATCATGTGGCCACTAAAAAATGTCAACTCCTCTTCTTTATTAATTAACAGGGTGATTTGTTTAATTGACCATTTATTTCATTTTACTGTAGTGTTTATACGGCTCATTTGATTTTTTTAATTTTTGCATGATACAGTACACTACTATCAAGCATTCGACTGGTATTAGCTAAACTAAAAAATTCCAGGTCTGGCTTTGGAAAAATTAATTTAGGTATTCGTATTAAATATTACACCCTGTATATATTTTTTTTAAATGCAATAAGTGATTTTCAAACTACATAAATAGCCAATGAAAACGACATATGCGACAATGTTTCGCACTTTTATTAAATTTTTAGTGAACGATCAAATCTTACCAAAAATACAACAACCATAATGAAGTATCAAATTATAAGGTATTAATTTAAACAAATGTTATAAATTTCAAACATTTTAATTAAAATGAGTTCCTACAACATAATCTAATACGTAGAAAATTAACATCTTTACTGTCACTTTGTATTATCTCTACCATAGAATCAATTTGTTTTTCAATTTTAAATTTTTACTCATAGATCGTATTGGGGCATTATTTTCGATAAATAATAAATTAAATTGATTAAAAAGTCAAACCTCTTGTATGTGTTAGTTTTTGTTGATTGTAAATGATTAAAATTTTATGTCAAATAATAATACATTGCATCAACTGTACTAAATAAAAATAAATCTAAAAAAGTTTAAAATGAAGGTTGGCGTTGACCGTTTGACGTTTCTTGATATTTTATACCCATTGTCATTAATGTCATTATCAATTGTTATTTATGTGTACAAGAATACATATTTCTTCTGTCATATCTACGTTAAGTACATTGTGTTAGTTTTGGTAGAGCTTTAGTTACTTTCGTTCAAAATGCCACATCAGTCTTTCGACCACAGAATATGCAGACATAATATTTGTTTATGGATTCTGTAATGGGAATGGTAGGGCTGCTAGTAGAGAATATCGCAGGAGATTTCCTAATCGTCGAACTCCCAGTCATCCAACATTTGGGTCAGTTTTTAATTATTTGCGAGAAAATGGCACTTTTCCTAGTGGAACAACAGAGCGACATGTAGATGAAGCGCAGGAAGATGACATTATGGACGCCGTTACTATGAACCCTACAATAAGCACTAGACAAGTAAGTCGAGAACTCAATGTTACTCAATCAAAAGTAAGTAGAGTCTTGCAAAAAAATAATCTATACCCATATTACATTCAAATGGTTCAGCGACTACATGCTGGAGATGAGATCGATAGGTTGGAATTTTGTAGATGGATTAACAATAATCGACCAACGCTATACAGGACACTATTTACAGATGAAGCCCAATTTACCAGAGACGGGATAAATAATTCACGAAATTCACATGTGTGGGCAGAAGAAAATCCCCATACTATTCGAGAACGTCGTTCTCAGTTAAGGTTGTCGGTTAACGTGTGGATTGGTGTCATAAATAACCAATTAGTAGGTCCTCACTTTTTTGATGGTCCTTTAACAAGTCAGGTCTATTTGAACTTTCTACCAAATATTTTGCCGAATTTGCTTGCCAACGCGAACGTTGCTATCCGAGGGATGTATTTTCAGCATGATGGGGCACCCTCACACTTTTTACTGGCAGTGAGACAACATCTCAATAATGTTTATGGCAACAGGTGGATAGGACGTGCATTTTCTATTTCGTGGCCTTCAAGATCCCCTGATTTCAATCCCGTTGATTACCATATTTGGGGACGATTGAAGCAACTAGTTTACTCAGTGAATATTAATAACCGACAACAATTAATTGATAGAATTATACATTGTTGTAATACTATTAGAAACGATCCCCAGAGTATTCGTAATTCAATACGTCAATTAACAATTCGGCAACAAAAATGTGTACAGGCTGCAGGGTTTCATTTCGAAAATCTATTTTGAATTATTTTTATTTTGTTAACATTATTGTATCTTCTCCAGTTCTAATTTATGGGTTTATCATACCTATGTACATATTTTTAGTTTTTTTTTTAAATTGTTCTTCGTTATTGTTAGTTTATACTGTTTTTTGTTGTGCAGTAACTCAGTTTATCATTTCAATTAAAATGTTTGAAATTTATAACATTTGTTTAAATTAATTACCTTATAATTTGATACTTCATTATGGTTGTTCTATTTTTGGTAAGATTTGATCGTTCACTAAAAATTTAATAAAAGTGCGACAACATTGTCGCATATGTCGTTTTCATTGGCTATTTATGTAGGCTGAAAATCACTTATTGCATTTTAAAAAAATATATACAGGGTGTAACATTTAATACGAATCCCTAAATTAATTTTTCCAAAGCCAGTCCTGGAATTTTTTAGTTTAGCTAATACCAGTCGAATGCTTGATAGTAGTGTACTGTATCATGCAAAAATTAAAAAAATCAAATGAGCCGTATAAACACTACAGTAAAATGAAATAAATGGTTAATTACACAAATCACCCTGTTAATTAATAAAGAAGAGGAGTTGACATTTTTAGTGGCCACATGATATGCTCCCTGAGGTACTCTACATATGGTAGAAGTATGTAAAGTTCCTCATGACTCACCCTGTATATTTTCTTCTAGTGGGATAGTAAGAATATTGAAGAAAAAGTATACAAAAATTGAAATTATTTTAACTGGTGACAAATACGGTGTTTGACAAATACTCGTACTTCATACTTCTTCAATGTTTACGTATATGCTGAAAAACAAACCGATGGTTATAGTCTTTCTGATGAGGAATGAAAGAAATCTATTCCAACGCAAGCGGTCATCAGACTTTCTAAGCCACTATATAATTCTAATAAAAATGTAATAGGTGATATCTGGCACAGTCGGTAGAAATGGCTAATCACTTACTGGATAATGAGGTAACTTTTTTGGGGGCCCTAACAAAGATAAAAAGAGAAACTTCCCAATCAAAATTCACTAAACAAAAGACGTTGGTGAAAGCTTATACCGTTTTACGAAACATCTGATATTGTTGTCTTACTCTCCAAAGAAAAATAAATCTCTTCTTCTGCTTTCATCCATGCACTAGGCAAGAGTTATGGAGGAAGACACCAATTAGCCAGAAATTATATCATGATACAATCTTACAAAAGGGGTGTGTGGATATGCTGGATGAAAAAACATCCAAATATTCTTTTAGTCGCCGAACTCGAAGGTGACCTATAGCAATATTTTATAAGGTTGTAGATATATAGGTAAAGAAATAATAAATAAGACTTACTCACAATCAATTTAATTTAACTATCAGACGACCGTTTTCGCTTTCTACAATATGAAAAGCATCTTCAGGTCTCGATACAAAGTTAAACAAATGCTGAAATGATAAAAACCCATATTAGGGTGTTGTCTAATAAAGATAAACAAATTAGATGTTATAAATTACAATAATTATGCCAATATTACATGTCTGTGGTTTTATTTAAATGATTGAGTTGAATAAAAGGTATAAAATTTTTTTAAAAAGGTTAAACAGACAAGGTAAGACCCACAAATTGTTATAAAATCTCTTCTATTGTAATAAATTAATAAATGAGCAAATAAATAAATAAAATAAAAATTACTTACATGCCGGTACTCTATTAATAGATGGCTGGTAGAACATGTTTGAAACTACTTTATATTGTTGAATGGAGAACTCAATACTATTATTGCAGTTGTTTGTTCAATACTATTATTGCAATAATAGTATTGAGTTCTCCATTCAACAATATAAAGTAGTTTCAAACATGTTCTACCATCCATCTATTAATAGAGTACCGGCGTGTAAGTAATTTTTATTTTATTTATTTATTTGCTCATTTATTAATTTATTACAATAGAAGAGATTTTATAACAATTTGTGGGTCTTACCTTGTCTGTTTAACCTTTTTAAAAATTTTTTATAGCTTTTATTCAACTCAATCATTTCAATAAAACCACAGACATGTAATATTGGCATAATTATTGTAATTTATAACATCTAATTTGTTTATCTTTATTAGACAACACCCTAATATGGGTTTTTATCATTTCAGCATTTGTTTAACTTTGTATCGAGACCTGAAGATGCTTTGCATATTGTAGAAAGCGAAACCGGTCGTCTGATAGTTAAATTAAATTGATTGTGAGTAAGTCTTATTTATTATTTCTTTACCTATTTGAAATGGACTCACACAAGCAACACATTCATGATGTTTTAGATATAATATGTAGTGTGAATTCATATATTATTATATTCTTCTATTATGGGAAATAATTAAACCAGATTCAATTTCATAAAGGCTTTTGCTGGAGAATTTGTAGAAGAACACATGGACAGAAAATTACAAACAAATATTCTACGAGAACTGAGAGGTATTATTTCTACGATCCTAAAGATTAAAGATATCCTGATGAAAATCGAAGAATCTAAATTGGAACTTCGAAAATATTGTTATTTGTCCGTGTCAGAGGCAAAGAAAAACCGGTTATTTATGTAAGAAGTCCAATAAACCAAATTGTTTTCAGTGTTCTCGTAAATACCACCTTCAGTGTTGCGAATATGTATAAGAATAATCGTTAATTTTGGTTGACATTCGTTATATCTTGTTATTTTCTGTTGTTTTTACTCTACAAGAAACAAATCACCTTTTAAGGTTAAACTCTGAAAGTGGCCGCAGACTGCAGACCGCAAACCGCAGACTGCAGCGACAGTGTCGTCTGCGGTCAGACCAATTCCGAGCAGAACTGCACTGCATCTACAAAACAGCGACAACAGCATTACACGATGGGAATCTATAATAGTATAATATTAAAAGTCGTATAATTAGGATGTCAGACGCAATGAACAACGATGAATTAATGTTATATCTTTTGATGGAAGAAGAAGATGACGACGATCTTTTACTTTTGCAATATAAAAGAAAAAGAAAACCGACAAGGTCTCTATTTAAAAATAGACAATTTGAAGAAGTTATTCAATACTCATTAAAAATCATCTAATGGCTAACGAAGATATATTCAGAAACAGCAAAAATACGTGTTGTCACTGCGGTCGGCGACATTACTGGTTCTGCTCTGGTGCAGTCCTGCGGTTGGCGGTGGTGACGTTCTGCTTGCGGTGGCGACAGTGCCGCTCTACTCGACATACAGCTCATAAGAAACCATATGAATCAGTAGGTCTGTCGCTGCGGTCTGCGGTCTGCGGTTTGCAGTTTGCAGTTTGCGGTCGTGTTCGGAATCGTAACTTTAAGCTAATAATTGGTTTTTATAATTATGGATTATAATTTTGTAATCATCATTATAGCATGTATATATGTGAAATATCCAAATTTAAATTAGATAAAGAGTCTGAGAGAAATCGTGTCAACAGTTATGTTAGAAAATTTGGTGTTACTGGATGACATAATCCAAATTAATTACCGATGGGAAAGTAAAAGGCAAGAAAGGAGTTAGAATACGCAAACATTCATGGTTAAAAATCATACGAGATCTGGTTTGGACAGGTTTGGACTGGTTTGGACTCGCATTCACTGTTTCGTGCTGCACAAGATATACATTACTTCGCTGATATTATTGCCAACTTCAATCGAAGATGGTACTATGAGATGAAGATCGGAATGATTTATTATAAAATTTAATAAAACACCTATACAATCCCTTAATTACCACTTACTTAAAATTTTCATAATCGTCGTCCCTAAATGCAGTAACAATCTTGGGATAGTAAATGTCACCGTAAATCTGTAATATTTGCCTTGTCAAATCGACAAGATCGTGAAGAAAAGCTGGGCTGTTTTTAAGATCGTCCGCATTTCGTACAAAAATGTCCCAAGCGTCAAATACCTCACTATAATTGTACCATGTCTAAAAGAAATATAATACGTAGTAGTAGTATTATAAAATTAGCGAGAGATACTAACAAAGATAATAGCATTATGTTTCTAATTAGTAGAGAGGAATCAAAATTATATTTCCTCGTAGCTCCCGATCGATTAAAACCCGAATGTTTCCGATCGAATTTAATACCAAGTGTAAGATAATTTTAACGTCAAATTTTGTCAACATGAACAACACTAGAAACTGGAATGAAGCAAAATATTAACTATTTAGATGATGACCGAAGTGAAACAGGATTTTTAGGAAAGAAGCAGGCGTTTCTTGATTACACCTTGTATGAAATTAAAAAAGAAATGCTTTTGCAGATCCAGTCATGGGTAAGATACAACTTCTAATAAAAGTAGCTTTAACAGTTGCCAGAAGTCTTTTCCATTAATGACCCGAATTGACATAAAATAAAAAAAAATGCAACAATCACGTCAGTAGAATGGCGGGCGCAAGAGTAGTTAAAATAGCAACAAATCGGCTGTGTAAGAAATGGGGTGACAATCTTCCGTAGAGACAACAACCTGCTAATGAACAAGCAAAATTGCTTATATAAAGAAGGACGAAGAAGAAAAAGAACAAGTTTTTATTTGTTATTTTCGGATGTTTATTTTCCATTGCTTTTAAATAAATGTTTAGGCGGCAAATATAAATTTTAAACTTGCCGCCAAAAATTTAGCGGTAAATTCAAAACATATATTTTGAATTTATCGCCAGTTTATGGTAGAACACTTATGACGCTATAAACTTTCTTCCAGAGAGATACCATGCCAGAAAGTTCCAATCTGTACCCTCGGCAGTTTGTGGCTAGTTAGCGATAATACAATAGACGTGGCTGGTTACTAGGCTGGGTTTCCTTAATTAAAATTAGACAGGAGTACAGACTTACAGTAATTACAGTAAGTTATACCAAATATTCGAAATTTATAACATAACAATTTATTAGGGGTTTCTGGCTATTAAGTTTCCGAGGGCAGAAGGTTCACTATTTTTTACTTCTATCACTTCTGTAACTACTTCTCACCGAATGATTGCCGGTATAAGAAATCCCCCACTTAATGACCAACGGCTTCGGGCGGATGAGGTAGTGAGTGGTAAGGCACTCTGTTGACCTGAGACCGCGAAATCGATCTCAAAGCCGGAGAAACCAAGAACTGGTCAACGGCATCAAGATGTAGAGGACCAGGAGAAACCACTACATTAAAGATCCTTGTGGATATCTCTAGTACAGCTTTCCATGCCAGACAAGGAAACTACACATACTTTTTATGATCATGGACTTCGGAATCCAAGATCTGACAGGGGAGAAAAATCACAACCAGACCACGGGGTCTCCTAGGTCGTCAACCCAGGAAAACCTCGTGTCGAAAACCAAATATTAAGCTAGAAATGGCTAGCCTAGACATTCTCATTCTAGGTATCTGCAAACCGAAATGGCCAGGGTCAAACATATTTGAGAGTGTTACATTATATACCACTCGGGAAAGGCAGAAGGAACCAGACGTAACGGAGTCGCAATCTTTGTCAACGAAGAGATTCGTAACTGTATGATCTTTAGACGGTCGTAAACGTGTATTGGAAAGACCCGGAGAATTTGCAACTTGCCGTATTTCAGAACGCCGCGCCGGTTGGTGGTGAAGGTATTATGGTATGGGCGGGTATTTCTTTCAACGGTCGCACATAATTATTTTCATCGAATATCGAACTCTAACAGCAGACAGATACATACGACAAAGTCTGGAAGATAATGTTGTCCCCAACACCCCTTTCGTTGGACGTATCCACAATGCGCATCCACATACTGCGCGAATCGTCGTGGACTACCTAAATACCGTCAAAATTTCTGTTTTGGATTGGCCCGCTTGTAGTCCTGACATGAATCCATTAGAACATTCATGGGACATATTAGGAAAAAACATTAAAAAGAGACAGCCATTACCAGAAATGATTCAAGAGCTGAAAATAGCGTTAAATGAAACATGGGAACATATACCGCAAGAACTTTAGCGATTTAGCAACTTATTGCAACTATGCCTAGGCGTATTGAAATCCTCCGCCATGCAGGGAGGCGATATCTGATACTAAACCTAAAGAACAGCCAACTGTGGGCTATTAAAATTTTATTTTTTCTTTTAATTAATTTTCGAACACAATGCTAATTTTTTTGCGTTACTTATTACTTTCTTTTGAGTTACTTATTTTTTATTGTTGTAAATAAACGATTTCTATTATTAGTGTTTACTTTCTTCCCATTTCAACTACTTAACACCTACAGGATTAAAAAAAAACCCACACGCAATGCAGGTGTCCGGATTTTTTTTTACCATTAGTGTATTTTGAACTACAAAATACTTACCCAGACGTCCAATTTTAAGGAGGGTGTCCATGTAATGGCGTATTTTCCTCTTAGTTTGTGTAATCCATTAAAATCATAAACTGTGTTCTAAAAAGTTCAATAAACGTCAAAACTCAAACGTAAACAAATTATATAAAAACTTTATTGTCTACAGTCAGCATTAGAAAAAGTTATTAATTTAAAATTTACTGACTACCTAGTTTTAAATGCAAATTATAAGTTCTGAGACTATTTTAAGTAATATTTCTGCATTATCTACTATATTTAATGGCAACAAACCATATTTCGTATCGAAAATACATTATATTTGACGTTTTCTTCGGAAATTTAAGAATGAAAATATGTTTTCGGTTAGACTCCTAGTGTCTCTCTTATTAATAAACACGGACTAACCTTGGACTAACATTAGTCCCAGGACTACACCAATAACATTCATTTTTCGTATTAATAAACAGCGACTAAGGACCGACTAAGCTAAACCTTGGCTAATCTTGGACTAACATTTAATCCGAGGTAGTGGCAGGTTTTAGAGAGTGACTAACTTGACAATTGAAATTGAGTTATTTCGTTTTGGTATTCATAACCTGAATTGTTTTTGATTATTCATACATTATTTAATAATGGAAGATTATTTTATCAATGACTTAAGATTAATATAACAACTTAATGACCATAGAAATCAGTGAAATCTAAGACATATTAAAATATATAAAATTTATTTAATAAAATATTTTACAATTCATTATGTTTATTAGTATTTTTTATACTTTCCCTTTGTAATAAAATATTTTTTAAAGTTTCCTCCTGAACTTTTATGAAGTTTAAACTTTTCAGATAAAAAAACTACTATAAAATATAAACAAACTTTCTCAGAACACAGTCCAACTAAAATTAACTCTACGTGCTCCAACTTATGCTAACTGTCAAATTCTCAAATATTTTTTCTTCTTTTTCACAAAATTCTCTCCATTTTTCTTCTTTTTCGCAATGGTTGCCAACATAAACTTGTTGTACCTAGGACTAAGGAAGGTTTAGTTAGTCTGAGCTTAGTCCATGTTTATTAATAACATTCTGAAAATGAAGTTAGTACTCGCTTAATCTGGGACTAACTAGTCCGAGACTAACTTCGGAGTAAGCAATTTTTATTAATAAGACTGCTAGTGTATTATTATATTATATATTAATATTTTTGAAATATCAACAGGCTTTTTCTTAGTTTTGTTTCTCCTCCTATAGTAAGCCAAGATTTCGCTTACAAAAACTCAGACATTATCAAACAATAAACTGTTTTTGATACAATGTTGCAAATCATAAACGGTTGATAAACACATTGTTGTTAACAATGAACCATAGAAAAATGAGTGTCCTACGTTGAAGTGGCAGATAGCTTTGGTAATTATACATCCACACGTCCCGCTAAATTGTAAAAAATAATTCTTTAACCAACTGCCATCTCCAGACCAGACTAGTTTAATCTGCCAAACAAGACAACAGTGTCTTAGGGGATAAAATCAATGGATAAATATAATTCGAATGACTTTATGTCTAACTTCTCGTTCGACGATGCGAAATAATTTCTGAAGGCGTGGAGTAAATGTTTTATTGGTAACAAATCAGTACATTTGACGGAACTTCAAACAATGACTTCTATATCGGTATAGACGGGCCATTCGTCATATTGCAGATCCTCTGTTTACTGTGCAGTGCAACAGACAGACCTTGTGACCGTGGTCATTGCGACGTCTATGCATAAACAACGAAGATTTTTTTACTTAATTATATGTTGTTTGTGAAATTTTTCCTTGGTGAATTTTCAAGTTGTGTAAGTTTTGACAAAAGGTAAGTTTTTTTTGATTGTTTATGTATTGAACTATTATATTGAGTTTTAAACAACTGAACTTAACCTAAAATACCCTTATAAAATTTAAATTGTGTGTTTGGTGGCGTGACCCGTCTCTACCGAACCCTTGGGATAGACGGGACAGAGTGTATCGGTATAGATGGGCTAATAATAAGTATGGGGTTTGTATTATTCAACAATTTATTTTAATCATATATATATATTATATATATATATATATATATATATATATATATATATATATATATATATATATATAGTCCCAAGATTCCTAAGAGGAACATAGGGCTTCCACAAAGTGTCTCCAGCGAACTCTATTTCTGGCTAGTGCTTTGATTTCAAGCCAGGATTTTCCCATTTTTCTCCCTTCATCCAGTACTGTCCTTCTCCAAGTTCCCTTAGGTCTGCCTACTTTCCGTCGGCCTTGGGGATTCCAATCCAGCGCTGTCCTGGCAATGTCATTTGGCGGTCTACGGAGTGTGTGGCCCAGCCATCTCCATTTTCTTCGCCTTATTTGCTTTATGACATTTTCTTGGTTGCTTTGGTTCCATAAATTTTCATTGGAGATTCGGTTAGGTATTTTAATCATAAGTATTATTAATTAATATCTATATTGTTACAGGTTACAGTATGCTTTCATAGTATAAGTGGAAATCTACTGTTCAAAGAGGTAAATAGAGCGAAGAAGCACTACAAAATGCGGTTGCAGTAATCAGAGAAAATCGCACGAGACTAAATCGAGCTGCATCAGCTTATAGCATACCTTGAAGTACAGAGAAGAATGAAAAATAATGATCTAAAAAAACACAATTGTTTTGGACCTTCTTTAACTTTTGGGGATGAGATCGAGCTGAATAGTGCTGTATATTAAGGAATTACAAAAGTATGGTTTTGTACCCACTCGTGACCAAATACGAACTGTGGCGTTTCAACAGTACAACAATAAAACAGCGAACAACAATAAAGCTGGTTTTGACTGGTTGCAGTCTTTTATACGGCGTCATCTAGACTCATCAGTGCGAAAAGGTGAAGGAGTTTCTTTGGACAGGGCAAAAGGATTAAACCAGGAGATAGTTAAACAGTACTTCGATCTGTTGCAAAGTATTTTAACCAATAGTCAACTAATAAATAAGCCGGGGCATATTTTCAACGTAGACGAGACAGGTTTGCAGTTAATTAACAGGCCTGGACTACTCGCGTCTATAGGATCCAAGAATGTCCCTGTTATTAAATCAGAAGAGAAACAAGAAACGATATCTGTGATAAGCTGCTGAAATGCTGAGGCCGTATTTTTACCTCCGTATTCTATTTTTAAAGGAAAAAATAGAAAACAAGAATACGCGGATGGAATGCCACCTGGAGCAATGTTTGTAATGTCTGAAAAAATCGGCCTACGTGAATGCAGATATTTTTTTACATTGGCTAAAAAGTCTATTTATTCCTCGAAAGCCTCAATGCAAAGTTTTGCTGATATTAGATGGACATACGTCCTATAGAGCAGCAGTGGAAGTATTAGAATGCGCCGGAAACAACGAAATTATAATATTGTGCTTACCCAGTTATACCACGCATTTTCTGCAACCATTGAACCTAGCTTGCTTTAAATCTTTAAAGACTAATTTTTACTCGAGATGTCAAAACTATAACGGAAGTAATATAACAAGAAAATTACACGTTACCAGTTTGGTGAGCTGTTAGAAAATGCGTGGAAAATCCCAGCAACGGTGAAAAATGGAACATCTGCATTTGTTGCCACAAAATTGTACCGTTTGATCTCGATACAATTCCAGAGCACGCTTTATTGTTCACAAATGAGAGCTCCTTAGCTGTAGTAGAAAAACAAAGTAATACAGAAATGGATCTAAATATTTTAGATCAACCAGGTCCTTCACATGCAGGCATTACTCTAGTCGTTGATGAAATGATGTTGAAGACTCAAATATAACACCTGGAGAAGTATTGGACACGTTATCGCGTGTACCTTAAATTGATGCTACAAAAAAGAGTGTAAGGAGCCGACCAAGAAGAATGGCCGAAATTCTTAATTTTGCAGACAAAATTCAAGAAAAGAAGATAAAGAAACAAGAATCAAAATGACGACAGTTCTAAAGCAGCAAAACAAATGGCGTCAATGTAAAAAGTATGAGTTAGATTCGTCTGATTCGTGCCAGTTTTAGATGACAGCGAAGACGAAGAAGAATTTAATGAAAATGAGTGCATTGGTTGTGGTGAAGATTACAGCAAAACATAAAAAAAAGATGAGTGGGCTCAATGTTTGATTTGCAAAAACTGGTGCCATGACAACTGTACAAAATTTGAAATTTTTTGTGATTCGTGTGGAAAAATTGCTAGTAAAAAGAAATAGGTTAACATCATTATTTTATATGTTTCAAATTAGCCCAACTCTACCAATAGCAATAGCCCATCTGTACCTACGTAGTGGCATAGATGGGCCAATAAGAAGTATTTATGTTAATTTCTATAACTTTTATATTCCCCAAGTTATATGTTTTTTATGTTGTACAATAAATATATAAACTATAATAATTATTCTTTTCCAAAAATTGAACCATACACTAGTCAATTTTTTAAACAATCTGTATGAAAAAAAAGTGACTTGTCTCTCCCGGACTTACCCTCTATATTGTAATTAGACTACGTGCTAAAAGTATTCAACCCCAATTTATAATCTCACAAATAACGCGCAAATTCATCACAAAGTCCATTGCCTTGTACCTTGTAATTTGAGATTTTAGCCGGTTCTAGATTGAACCTAGACATTATATTCCCTTTCTGGTAGCCTAATATGTTATATAGAGGTGTATATACAGGTATTTGCCAAACATACTGTAAATACCTTTGATTTCTTAATAATTTCTTAACATTTTCATTTTTTGTTCTACCCGTCCAAAAAACCTACACTGAAAGAAGTTTCGTTTGAGTGTTATTAAAATTTTTCTTGTTATACAACACAACCCCTTTAAACATAATTAAAACTAAGTTACCCTTAACAACTGCCATGCTTCTGTGATATTTGCGTTGGATTTTCCATATCTTCTTAGTGCATAATTTTCGAACCAGTTTGATAAATTTGCTGATTCTTTTCTCCAAGCTTGTTCACTCATTAAGTCATATACAACGTAATTTTGGTTAATACCTTCCGGGGTTAGCCCAGTTCCTATCATCGTGCTGTTAATGCTGTTTCTTGCTTGGATAACTCTCTAAAAATAGATGTTAAAAGTGTTTTTATCAGTCAATAAAAATACTAAGGAAATAAAGAAAGATAGATGTGAGGTTAAAATTTTTACAACAAACATGTGCATTATACAGAAAATCCTGGACAAATAAATTTATAGGCGATTTATGAAAGCAAAAAATTATTATTTTCACTTGGAAATTATAACCCTTTTGGTATGAACAACAGCTTTTTATTATTCCGGATGAAATTGATTTTAGATTAAACCTACAGTGTAGTTTCAAAAACATTTTATTCATATTTACCTCGTTTATAATGTTAGCTGATCCAAACATGCCCAAAGTTCCTCCAAAATCGTGCAACATGCACCAAATATAAGGTTGGCCGAAATATTGATCCAACGCATCATACTGAGGAAATTCCTCTGATTGAAGATCTAAAATAATCATTTTGCCCTAAAAATGAAAAAAAGCTTTTATCGATGATATTTTACTATCGATCGAACCGTAATATTATGTTTTCTAATTCTCAATATTACGCGTCTTCTTCTTAAAGTTCCATCTCGTATCGGAGGTTGGATATCATAACGGCTATGGTCACTTTGTTGGCTGCTGCTCTGAAAAGTTGTAGTGAACTACAGTTAAACCATTCTCTAAGGTTCCTCAACCAGGAGATGCGTCTTCTTCCTATGCTTCTTCTTCCTTGGATCCTTCCTTGCATAATAATTCTCAGCAGCTCATATTTTTCTCCTCTGGTTATGTGACCCAAATACTCTACTTCTCTTCTTTTTATGCTGTTCATAATTTCTAACTCCTTATTTAGACGTCGTAGTACCTCAGCATTGGTAATGAACCCACTGAATTTTTAACATTCTTCTGTAACACCACATTTCGAACGCTTCTATTTTTCTTATGTGTTGTTTCTTCTATGTCCAAGCTTCCATTCCGTATAGTAAGATAGAAAATATGTAACATCTTAGAGCCCCCAATCTGAAATGCAACTGAAGGTCTCTATTGGTAAGCATTGTCTTCATTTTCACAAATGCTTGCTTTGCAGTTTCAATTCGGACTTTGATTTCACTGCTTTGGTCATTTTTGTCATCAACCCAGGTTCCCAGATATTTTATGTCTCTACTTTTTCTATTTGGGTTTGCTCTATCATTAATCTTTCATTTCCATGTAGCGTTTTGGAGACAATCATAATTTTAGTTTTTCTCTTATTTATTTTTAGTCCATATCTAGTGCAATAATCGTTAATTCTATTTACCAATTCCAGGGTATCGGCCATTATAACGGTATCATCAGCGAATCTTATGTTATTTACTATTCTTCCGTTTACAGAGATTCCATCACCAAGATCCGCTATCGCTTCCTGGAATATAGCTTCACTGTACACGTTAAACAGTAATGGTGACAGAACACAGCCCTGTCATACTCCTCTCTTTATATCTATATTTTCGGAATTTTGTTCTTCTATCTTTATATTGGCCTTTTGATTCCAATATAGATTGATAATGATTCGTAAGTCTCGTCTGTCTATATCATTGTTTCTCAGTATTTCTATTAGTTTTTTATATCGAACCCTGTCGAATGCCTTCTCGAAGTCGATGAAACAGGAATAAATATCTAGGTTCATATCTAAGCATCTTTGAGAGAGGACATTAAAAGCAAAAAATGCCTCTCTCGTTTCCAGTCCCTTGCGGAACCCAAACTGAGTATCATCCATATCCTCTTCTAGTTTTCTATATAATCTTCCATGAATCACCTTCAGAAATATTTTGAGGGTATGGATTATTAGTGATATTGTCCTATAGTCTGAACAATCTTTGGCATATACTGTTTTTGGTATTGCTACAAAGGTGGACACCAACCATTCCTGTGGGATTTTTCCAGTTTTATATACTTCGTTAAATAAATCCATTGTTCGATTTCCTCTATTATAATCTCCAGCCTTGTTTCGCTGTCGATTTCTTCCGGTTCTTGTCGATTATCCTCAAACAGATCTGTTATGTATCTCTTCCATTTTTTTAATTTCTCTTTAATTTCTATAATGATTTTTCCATTTGCGTCTTTCAGAAGGGCTTCTTTCTTTTTTCTCAGTGTATTTGTCCTTTTCTTTATTTTCTTATGCATGTTAAAGCTATCATACTGTTTAGCATATGCCTCTATTTCACTGCATTGATTAGCAAGCCAGGAGAATTTGGCCTCTTTTATTTTCTTTCCTATCAATATCTGTAGTACATTGTATTTTGCCTTACTCCTGCCTTTATGTTTCCTTCTTTCCTCCATTAGATCTAATATTTCTGAAGTCATCCATCTCTGTTTTTTCTTATTTTTGTCTGCAGTAGCTTTTCTCCTGCCTTTATTAAAGTTTCCTGTACCATGTTCCATTTGGCATTAACATCTGTTGTTTTTATCACGTCTTGTTTGATTTTCTGTAAGTTATCATTTATTTCTTGTTTTAAGCTCTGACGTATAGGTTCTTCTTTTATCTTTAAGACATCAAACCGTGGTATATTTGTTTGTTTTTTAATCTTCTTTAATTTTATCTGCATTACGCCTACTAATGGATTATGGTCTAAATTTATGTCAGCTCCGGGGTATGTTCTTAGAGACTTTATAGCGTTTTTATATCTAGATTTTATTAAAATGTACTCTATCTGGTTTCGAACAATGTTATCTTCTGAATACGCAGGTGATTTCCACGTATAAAGTCTTCTTTTAGGTAATTTAAAATTTGTATTCATTATTACCATCTCCTATTAAGCGTGGGTTTATATTAACGTGAATATTGACTTTGTGAACTTCAATCTCAAGAACCGCAACCTGAACAAGGACGTGAAAAGTTTTTTTTATGATATAGACCAAAGAAGTAACGATTTTTTCAAGAAAATCTAATTTAAAAACTGCTTTTGATACATTTGGTGATGACAATAAGTAATAAACAAAATATGCAAAAGATTAAACGTCATTTTTCACTTATAAACAATAAATAAACAATGCAAGATCGCTATTTGATTTTGAAAGCTTAAGGGCAAAGTGGAATAATTGAAGCCTAATGAAAAAGTGATATAATTTTACTGAACAACCATTGAAAATCCTTTAAAATAAGAGTTTGTAAAGCTATTTTTGTTAATTTTTTGCATAATTTTTGCAAAAATAGCTACAATAATCAAATTATCCCTTTTTTAGAGACGCTGTACACTTTTTGGATAAGGAAAAAGCATGGAATACGCGACAGATTTTTGCGACCGTCACCGCTACACAAATTGATGCAGAGTCGCACAGCTCCAGAACGGCTCGACGGATCGAACGGATCGTGACGGACTTATAAAGTTTAGACTTTATAAGTCCTAAATAAATTATAACTATATAAAACATAAACTATATAAAAGGAGGACAAATACTTATATATATTCCAGTGTAGACAGAATTGAAACGAGACAACTAGTGTGGTATGGTCACGTGAAGCGAATGAATGAAGATAGATGGCCAAAGAAAGCTTTAAATTACATACCACAACAAAGAAGAAGAAGCAGAAGACCTTTAGTTGCATGGGAAGAGAATGTACGACACCTAATGAGAGATAGAGCCATCAAAGAAGACGAATGGATGGACAGAGAACGATGGCGGTCGAAATGTGAGAAGCGGCAGAGGCTCTTATAAACAAATTAATTCGCAACTTTTTTGTTAAATTTTTAATGTTTAATTATTATAACTTTTTTATTATTAAGATAATGTAATTCTTTATAGTTTTTCAAGCTGAAACAATTAACTTTAAAATGCATGACTTTTGAAAGTTAATCGTACTTATAAAAGATGTTATATTTGCAAAAGCACTATCGAATGCGTATTTTGCAACCTTTATTTTGATAAAATTTTATAAACGATAAAAATAAATAAATAAAATAAAAAATAATAAAAATATTTATATATATTTTTTTATAGAATACTTCTCTGCATTGACAAATATTATTTATCGATAATATATACTAATATAATAAGTAGATACATGAAACGGAAATTACTTCTTTGGTAGAGCAACATGATTGATAAAAAATGATAAATATTGAATACCTAAAAATTAACAAATAGATAAGAAACTGATTCATTCGTATGAGGTGACATAAGTGTGATACAATTTTCAACAAGGAATGCCATAGATAAAAACTAATTTTTAATCTATCGCTCCAATAAAACGATTTGCGGCCAACCAAACATATCTTCCCCATGCTCACACTGATCCACCACCAAAAAGCGCGCCTTCGATTAATAGAAGTCTCATTGTATTTCTAATTTTTTTCCTTCTGCATTTATATTAAGTGCGCAAATAAAATCTTGACTCTCCAATAAATGAAAATAACTTTTAGTATTTACTTTCAAGTAAAAGGTAGAAGCCCAATTTTTGGTTATAAGTTGTATTTCTAATATCTACCTTTTCCTTTCAATATATTTTATCTTTTTACTTTACTTTACTCCGTGGCGTTACAACCCTTCGTGGGTTTTAGCCGACTCGACAACATGCCTCCACTGTTTTCTGTCTTGAGCAACCTCCATCCAATTCTCCACGCCCATAGTGCTTAGGTCTCCTGCTATATTATCTCGCCACCGGAGACGAGGGCGTCCGCGTGGTCTCCTTCCAGTTGGGACTTCCTGCCACACCAGTCTTACTGTTCGTTCGTCAGAATGTCTTCTGAGGTGTCCTGCCCATTGGAGTCTTCTGGACTTTATTTCTTTTATGATGTTAGCGTCTGGGTAAAGTTCTTCAAGCTCTTTATTAGTTCTTATCCTATATTGTCCTGATGTTTCATCAAGCACCGGACCAAAGATCTTCCTTAGATTTTTCTTTCCCAAACACGTAGTCTCTCTTCATTTGCTTTTGTCATCGTCCACGTTTCGCTTCCATACATCACAACGGGTCGTATGATTGTTTTATAGACCTGTATCTTCGTACGTCGTGTTAGTTGTTTTGATTTTATAAGGTTTTGGAGGGCAAAAATACATCTGTTGCCGGCCTGAATCCTGTTGTTTATTTCTTGTGATCCGTTATTGTCTTCAGTTATTGTTGTTCCAAGATACTTGAATTCCCTAACGCGCTCAAAGTTAAAGTCATCGATGGTAATGTTCTGACCGATTCTGTCTCTGCTTTGGTTATTGCGGCTCATATACATATATTTCGTCTTGTTTTCGTTGATTTGGAGCCCCATCTTCTCTGCTTCCTTCTCAAACCTTACGAAAGTCTCCTTCATCCTTAATCGCGTGTTTCCTATTAGATCTATATCGTCTGCAAATGCCAGTAGTAAGTTTGGTCCTTCTCGATGAAATACTGTATTCGGTTTTTCGATTCTTGCACTTCTGATTATGTGCTCCAGAGCTAAGTTGAAGAGTTGTGGTGAAAGTGCATCTCCCTGTTTTAGTCCATTGTTTATTTCAAATGTCTCCGAGTATTGTTGTCCAACTCTCACCTTACATCGTAACCGTTCCATACACATCCGTATCAACCGGACTAGTTTTTTTGGAAAGCCAAGTTCCTGCATCGCTGTCCACAGTCTGTCCCTACATACTCTATCAAATGCTTGTTTAAAATCTATGAACATCTGATGAAGCTCACGATCAAACTCCCAGCATTTTTCCATTATCTGTTTTATTGTGAATATCTGGTCAATTGTACAGCGGCCCGGTCTAAATCCGCATTGATAATCTCCAACAATTTCTTCTGTGTATGTTTTGGTTCTTTCTAGCAGGATGTTTGCAAGGATTTTGTAGGTGGTGTTTAGGAGTGTTATTCCCCTGTAGTTAATACATTGCTTTTTGTTTCCTTTTTTGTGTATTGGTACAATAACCCCTTCTTTCCATTCATCTGGCATTGTTTCTTCTTGCCAAATGTCTTGAATTAGCTTGTATATCGAACTGTACAATGCTTCTCCTCCATGTTTTAAAGCACTCTGCGGGTATACCATCGCTACCTGGTGTCTTATTATTTTTGAGTTTTTTAATTGCCTAATATATTTTATCCCTAAAAGCTAAAATAGATATTTCGACAAATACTTTAAAATTAGCAGAGGGCAATGAATTAATGCGTGTGTTTTCGGCTAACACCTTATAGTCCGGGCTGTGGGTGAAAAAGTGCATGAAAAAGTGAATTGTTACATTTTTGAGACTTACTCTGAGCTATTAAGGGTGATGTCAGGAACTCACATTAAAATGGAAGGACGCTCACGTAATATTAATCAGAAAACCAGGCAAAAATGGCACATTTCTTCAAAACTATCAAACAATAAGCTCATTACCAGCCATAAGCAAAATCGCAGAACAGATCATACTAACAAGGCTGAAAGAAGAATCGGAAGTAATCGGAACAATACCTGCAGCACAGTTTGGATTTAGATCCGAACACTAATGTAAACTTCACGTTCTAAAACTTACATAATATGCTACGAAAGGGTTCAATGAAAATAAATATACACCGGCAGCCTTTCTAGATGTCAATAAAGTTTTCGGCAGAGTATGGCAGAAGAGCCTGTCGTATAAAATTAACCAGTATGGTTATAGCAAGGTGATGACCTATCTCCTCGCGTTATAACTAGCCGACAGAAGGTTCAAAGATCGGATAGGGCCAACCGTGTCCTACTATGGAAGTGGCGTGCCACAGAGGACGATGCTGTCGCCATACCTATACACCATATATACGGCAGACACACCATCTGATTTCAGATCGGTACTAAGCCTGTAGAAAGACAATAAAGCGATAGCTGCTAACAGTATTAATACAGATCTTATGACAAGATACCGACAAAGAGCAATCAACGAACTAGAGGCACGGTGTGTGCAATGAAAAATAGCCGTCAACCCTGACAAAACACAGGCCATCATGTACCAAAAAATAAAACACAGACCAAATGGAGTACTATTTCTATTCGATATCCCAATAGAATGGTCAAACTAAGCCAAATATCTAGACATAAAGTTGGATAAAAAGCTGATCTTCATAAAGCACGTCAAACAAATGGTCAACAAAACTAAAACACTTGGGATCACCAATATGTCGGAAGAGTAAATTGAGATTTAAAACCAAGATTAGAATGGTAAATTGCATAATTTTTGCCAACACTAGCATGCCCTTGGCAGCATGGGAACATGTGTGTAAAACCAACAGAAAAAGGATACATCCAGATACGCCCAGAAATGTATAAATAGAGAGGCTCTGAATATTCCCAAGTACGTCCTATTAAAGGACGTATTTAGGAATTTACAACAAAAGATCATTCTGAGAACAATGGTCGAAAGAACACACTAGATATTTAACAATCTTAGGAACCACCCGAGCAGAGTATTAAAAGAGTTGGTATACTATGTCGAAAACGTAAGTACGGTACATAGATAGCCCAAGCAGCAGCTATCAGGATATAGAGATAACGAGGAAGTTTAATGAATAATGAGATGGCCACACAATAGTCTAACGTACGCAGTAGCAGAAGCTCAGAAAAAAATCTTAGTAAAAACCCAAGATTAATTTATATCTATTATTTAGTTATGTTTGATTTTACTAACTGGTTATAGTATAGAAAATAAAAACCAAAAAATATATACACGATCTGTGTGATGGCCGTATACACCTGGGAATGCACAACCCACCCACCTTTCTATTATTATTTTATCTTAACCTTGACTAACAATCTTCTGTTACATCAGCCATGCCTATTACGCAACCGCAAGAGAATTCTGATGCACATATTATACCGCTCCATTACGAAGTATAACCGGTTTGATCTTCGGACATATGGGTCTAAATGATCCATTAGAACGGATGACTCAAAGCTAGGGTTTGTACAAGTTATGATGTTGGTAACACAAGGTTTATTATTCTAGTTTTTTGGTCTTATTAATATATTCTTGTCCACTTTTTGGTGGGACGTATTCAAACCACATGAGTGAAACTTCACATGCTCTCACCGTCATATCTAGGGGTTTTTCAGGTGTATATTCTTTGGACGGATAGTTTGTACCATGTGTTCTTGATAATGACTTCGTTCTCCTTTTAAAACTGATCTAGCTCTTATTACGTGTTTCTAGTCCATATTAGCCTACCATTCCTCCATCTATTTCTTTCCCTAACTTAGCATTGAAGTCGCTTAAAATAATATTAGGATTCTCTTTTTTGGTTTCTTTCGGTGTTTTGTCTGATTCAAAAAGTAACATACAAGCATAAAATTTTTATACAATAATTATTTATATATGACTATTGGCGACGTGCAAGTACTTCGATGTGATACGAGAAACGATCGTGCGCGAGTAGCGGAGAAATCTTGCATTTTTTACTGCCCATTTTATAGATTTCATAAATTTATATTGTCAATTGTCACATTTCATATTCGTTTGTTTATTTACACCTTTTGTCACTGAAGAAAATGGGATTTAGGAAATGCTGTGTTATAAATTGTAAAAATACAACAAAAAATTGTCAATTTAAGTTTTATTCGTTTCCAACTTCGAAGCACAAATTACTACACAGAGAAAAGTGGATTTATATCATAAAAAAGCATAAGTAACATAACCTAAATTATGTATTATTCTTGTGCCCGATTTTAAAGTCAGTTTGAAATAAGTAATAAATAAAAGTTCACTTTTAAGTGTAAATTTTAGTTTCATAATACTCACTTAGGTTCATTTTAACCCAAAAATCAAGTTTAATGTTTAAATTTTATTTTTTTGAAGTTTTCAAAAATGCATCAAGTTCAAGTTTTTCTGAAGATGCATTAAGATATATTCGCTGTCCAATAGTTTACAGGGAAAGAAATAATTGTTCAAACCAATATGATGATATCATGGGCCTATCATGATGATATGATAACCTGCTAATTTATGCATTTATGTATTAGCATTATTTATGGTAATTTATTTTTCCTAATTCTTCCACATAATTCTTCCATTCTTTTTTGACATTTGCCACTACTAAAGCTTTTCCATTTGACTCAGTGCTTGGTTGAAAAGTTATTTGGTGATTTACTTTCTCAAATCCAGTTTTTATTATTGCATCCATATTAACAGTAATGCTGTAATTTAATAATATATTTATTTGTATTTACACTACATACAACGTTTACCTTTTAATAACATACCGACTGTCCGACATAACCTCAATCTTACTTTTTCTTCTTATTCTTTTTGGGGCTACGCTACGTCCTTGACTCCCGGTAACCTCGATCTAACATGAAAGCACAGTAAATTTTCTTGATTTACGACACCAGGTGTCGCTGTTCCGAACTTGCACGGTCCCAATAATATTTAAAACAAATATTATAGTCTATGACTGTGTATAGTTATAATTATTACCAAAATATTTCCGCAGTTAACAAAAGAGTAGATTTAAGATATTGTTTAGATTCTCGGACAAAAACATAAACTAGTAATATCTAAATGAAAAAACTTTTACAGCAAATCCAATAACACCACAAACAATTTAGAAAAATGTTTTTGACATACCGTTGGTACACTGGTAATCAAAGCTTTGGCTCGATCCAAATGATGCCAATACTCATTGTTGTAAAATAGCCACCCTTGCATAAGCCTACAAAAAAATATATTTCACTTACTTTTGGAACTGAAGTCAAGAGCGCTTTTGCTCTTGGTCGAGTCCAAAAGAAGAATGAATGGACGAATAGCCAACCCTGCATCATCCTGCAGCAAATTAAAATGTTTTGTAACTTGTATAAAAATATATCTCTTGGTTGAGTATAATAAGCATGTAAATAACTAAATACAGACAATATTTTTAAACCATCAGTATAAACCAATGTTTAAAAAAAAAGGAAAAAAGGGGAAGGAAAATAAAAGAGAGAGGCAGAAAGGTTACAATTTTTCTCTTTATTTTAGTTCTTTGATAAATGATCCTGGGGTTCAAATGTGGTAGTGATGCGTAAAATATGACGCTGTATCCTGTTAGCGTCACTAGCCTCTCCTACTCAATTCCAACTCTCACCTCCACGCGGTGAACCCTGGTAACCTGAGCAACTCTGTGGAAGATTGTGGTAACCAACCCCAGTGGGAAGCAGAGTCAGGGCAAGGGGTTTGGGCAAAAGGTTAACGACCTCTTCCCTTAAAAAAAACTCATTGTTATGAAAGCACAAAGTGGAAAAGCCGGACTGTTTAATTCACGACGACCTAGCAAACGACAATGGAATAACGATTTACGGATATGCACATGGAATGTACGAACCCTTTATGCCCCAGGTGCTCTTAGACTGCTAACACAAGAACTTGATAAAATGAAAGCCGATGTAGTAGCGATTCAAGAGATGAGGTGGACTGGTTCAGGAATCATCGAGAAAAGAGACTACAATATATACTAGTGGTTTTCTAGTCAGTAAAAAAGCAAATCAATTAGTCCTTAACTTTAAACCCATAAACAACAGAATATGTTATCTACGTCTTAAAGGAAAATTCTTTAATTATAGCTTACTTAGTGTACACGCACCTACGGAAGAAAAGGAGGATAATGAAAAAGATGAATTCTATGACACCTTAGACAAAGAATATGATCGATGTCCACGTCATGACATGAAAATCATTGCTGGGGACCTTAATGCAAAAATTGGCAAAGAGCAATTTTTCCAGCCAATTATAGGACGTGAGAGCTTACATGAAGAGTCAAATGATAACGGGTTGAGACTAATAAACTTTGCAAGTACTAAAAACATGATAGTAGGAGGAACAAGATTTCCCCATAAAATGATACACAAAGGAACATGGAAATCCCCTGATAATGAAACCATTAACCAGATAGATCACATCCTGATAGATGTAAGGCACTCTTCCGATCTCATAGACGTCAGAAGCTACCGAGGCCCAAACATTAACAGTGACCACTCTCTTGTAATGGCAAAAATCAGAGGAAGAATATCAAACCTAAAGAAAGATAAACACACGAAACAAGACAGAATTAATGTTGATAATCTGCGCATTGAAACCGTTGCGAGAGAGTATAGGAGACAAATGGACGAGGAAATGGAGAGCTTGGAGGTGGGGGAAAATGTAGATTAACTGTGGACGAAATATAAAAACATAATAACTGAGAAAGCAACAAAAATATTGGGGGAAACCAAACCAGTTAAAGAAAACGAATGGTTTGACAAGGAGTGCCAAGAAGCAACAGATCTTCTAGATCCTTTGAGATAAAGGATGGACTCAGACAAGGAGATGCTCTGGCTTGCCTCCTATTTAATATTGCATTAGAAAAGGCAGTTCGAGATACACGAATTAGGGATGGCGGTACTATTTACAATAGATCGATACAAGTCTTAGCATATGCTGATGACATTGACATAGTAGGGCGTAGCAAGCGAGATGTTGAGCAATATCTCCTAGAATTGGAAACAGCGGCGAAACAGGTCGGTCTAGTCATCAACGAAGACAAAACCAAGTACATGTTGGTTACAAAGGATCCGATAGCAAATGAGGAACGAGAAACAGTCTTTGGAAGTCATACTTTTGGACGTGTTGACAACTTCACATACCTTAGGTCGCTATTGACTGCTACCAATAAAACAAGCAAAGAAATCAAAAGACGAATAAATCTTACAAATAGGGCATACTATGGACTCCAAAAGCATTTCCACTCAAGAAACATTCAAAGAAGAACTAAAATTATTATATACAAAACATTGCTGAGGCCGGTCCTCACATATGGAGCAGAAACATGGACTATAACGCAGAAAGATGAAAGACTTTTGGGAATATTTGAGTGTAAAATACTTCGCAAAATATTTGGAGCTGTAAACGACCAAGGGCAGTGGCGCAGAAGATATAATTTTGAATTGTATTAGCTCTTTGATGAGCCAGATGTCATAACGTTCATTAAAACACAGCGACCTAGATGGGCTGGACACATAATACGAATGCCAGAAAATACCATTGCTAAAAAGATAACCACAGGAATACCTGTAGGAAAAAGAAGCAAAGGCCGACCGCGAATTAGGTGGTTAGATGGAGTAGAAACCGACTTACGAATATTAAAAATCAGAAGATGGCAACATGTTGCCAAAAACCGAACAGAATGGCGACGAATCTTAGAGCAGGCCAAGATCCACAGAGGATTGTTGAGCCAAAGATGATGATGATGATGATAAATGATCCTAATGGAATTTTCAAAAATATTCGTAGAGGTTCTGATAATGCCTTTGTTTGGTTTATGTCTGGCCACCAGTATATAAAGATAATTTTGTGTCACAAGTCATATTTTCTAGTTTTAATTAATAGTTATACAATTTCATGAATTTTATGTGATTTTTTTTATTAATTTATTTTTGTTTATATACAATAATCCTAAGAAATATTTCAAAGAAGGAAGTGATATGATGCGGTTTTAAGGTAATTGAATACTAAAATAATACTTTTCTACCTATGAATATTTCTCAATACTCACCAAATAGCATCAGGATCTGCATCTGTCATAGCAGCATAAATACTTTTGCCGACATTTGTTATGTAGGTTGTATCGGTTGTTGAAGGATCATTTTCGTTGAAACTGTCACAGTTATAGATGTGATCAGTACCAAATTCTTTTGTTTGCTAAAACAAATGTGTATTAAACTATCAAATGCGGAAACCTTACTTCAAACGTACTTCCTGTATAAAAAGCTTTCCTATTACTTTAAAAAGTTCTTCAGTAGGATCGAGAAAATATGGACAGCAGTAGGAGTCATTGAAAGTGTTCCATGTATCCATTTTAGTGACATTCACATTGGGGTAAATTCTAAAAATTTTCTAATTTAAATTTGTTACATAAAGTTTTCTATAATTAATAAACAGGCTAAAATAACCATTGACAAAGACTGAGTCAGGTTGTGAATAATATAATACTGAATTTTTACATCAATATCTTACATGACGGGACATAATTTCAGCCGGCTTTAATTACTGTGTTAATAATGACTATATATTTTTTGGGTCAAACATACCTCGTAATTGCTCTTGGTAAATGTCCAGCAAAAGCAGGCAATACTGGAATGATTCCCAAACTTCTCATTCGTTCCAATATTTTCTTCTGCAGCAAGATTGACCTTTCGTGCCATGACACAGAAAGTGGTCCACCCCATCCTCTCATATTCCCCATGCGTAACCTACATAATAAATCAAATTTAATTCAATGCTAAAATATTTTTATAGATTTTTATGTTACCAAAAATTATTAAAGGAAACACGAGAAAACTTTCCTCTTATTTTACCAATTGTATAACCATTATCGATCGTTAGATATTATGGTGATCATTGTATTCGCTATTAGGGTGTTATTGTTAGCAGCTCTTTATGTAGTATGCAGTCGATGTTTTGCACAATTGTTCAAGTTTTTTAAACGATGGTATTTTTCTTCCGTTAGGAATATGTTATTTACTTAAATCCACTCTCTTGTCGTTTTCCCATTACTGAGAATCGTGGTTTCTTCCAGTATTCGTAACAATTTTTCTCCGTTCGTCTCTATCTTCAGCTGCTCTAAAAGCTTCGCAGAATTAGTTTCCAGCTGAATTCTTAAATTTGATCAGACCATCTAGTTGGTGATCTTCTCCTCGGAACGTTTCTAGAAACAATTAAGCCCTCCAAACTATCGTCACCTCTGCAAACCACGTACCGGAAAAATTGTAGAATACATTGCAGATTTATTGTGCACAGCCTTTTTTTAATCTCGAGTTAGTTTAGAATGGAAACGTTTATCCTATGAGCTGTCTAAGGTTTGCGCAGCATTCTTCTCCAGCACCACATTTCAAAGGTATCAATTTTTTGGCGCTCGCATCCGCGAATGTATTGCCCATTTTACCGGACAGTGCTGCCAGAAGTTTAGTTCTTTTTCTTACCCTGTCTAGGGTGTTATGTGTGTCGATTTTCCAGTTGAGAGTCATCCTAAAATAGGAGCTCCCAAATAGGAAACCAAGTTTCTGAAATTAAGGTCATCTCCTTCTCTAGCAAGGTTATTCGGGCCTGAACATCACGGCAGTGGGGAGATTTAAATATTATTAATTGAGTTTTTGGAGGCGTTAGTCACTCCATCTATTGCGCTACTTAGTAACTCTGGTTATGTAGTTTTAAGCTCTTTCGAATACAGACATTTGTCCATACATTCTATGTGGGCCTGTTGTAAGGAGCGCAGTTTCGTCAGCATACAGCAGTAGGGATTCTGATTATATTGAGGGCGGGGGATGTCACTGTTGTGGACTGTGTATAGTATTGGAGCAAGAATTGAGCCCTGGGGTACTCCAGCTTGTGGAGTTAATGGTAAGGATAATTTATTGTCAACTTTGATCCAGATAGTCCGATTGGAGAGATAGGAATAACAAAAGTTGTGGGCAGTCCAGCAAGGTGGAGTTTTTCGATCAGACCTGTGTGCCAGATCTGGTAGAATGCTTTTTGGATGTCTAGAAATATGCTTATGACGTGTTTTTCCGGTTAATTGGTTGAGTTATGAAAGTTGCTGCTTCCAGTCCTGAATCTGAATTGATAATTTGGAATGGCAAAGTAAGCCTTTAGGAATTCTACGAGTCTCTCCTTAAGGATTCTCTCGTAGACTTTACTTAGTGTGCTCAGTGGTGAAATAGGTCTATATGATTCAGGGTTGGTTGGGGTTTTGCCTTGTTTGGGAATCATGACTGTGCTGACCACCTTCGATGAGATTGGAAAGTAGCTCAGCGTGCAATTTTTCGTACATCCAAACGTCCATTAACCGAACTCCCGACAAAAGACGAACATAGGTAACTTTATGTCACAGATTGAGTTTTTTAACGAATCCACAAGTCGTAAAACGATGAAATTTTACCACAAACACACATTTAGATGATGCTGTATATAAGTGGTTTACTTAAAAAATATTCCAGGGCGAACCTATTTCTGATCTGGATTCTGTGTAAAAAAGCAATTCAATTCAACGAAAAACCCGGAGAGGTGTGAAATTTTCAAGAAAGCACAGGCTGTCGAGACATGGCATTCATTAGCTTCAAATACAAGGATAAAAACAGTACTGATTCATCAGCAGCAGATTAATTCTAAATTAAATTACGGGAGTTACAGAAGGAAAAAAATTACGCCCTGCAAAAGTTTACAATGCATACTGGGAAACTAGGTTCAATTGGAAAGGTTTACCACAGAAAACTTATGTGAGTTAGCAGCACCTAAACCTACAATAAGCAAGGATCGTTTCACTGCCTTAGGTTGTGCTAATGCGACTGGCAGCCAATGATTGTCACTCGTAAAAGGAAGAAACCACGTTGTTTTAAATATGTAGCTAGCGTTATAAAAGGTAGCTTGGATGTATAATACAATTTTCATCAAATGGTTTATAAAAACTTATATGTCCTCGGTTAAAACCCATCAAATAAAAATTTGTTGGTAAAAAAACATTATTGCTTCATGATAACGCCCCAACTCATCGATGTTTTAATGAAACAGACCTGTCCTTGATTGGCTGATTTAAAGAGTTAAAGAGATACTGAAGAAAAAGCTTCAATTTTCTTCAATGTTGTACCCCGAATATGTTTGTTACAAATACTGCATTTTTTAAAAACAACTTATAATTTGCATTCCACATGCCGTTCATCCCCGCAAAAATTCTTAGCGAATTTAGTTGCTGGTACTCGGAACCAAGTAAAGAACTACAAACAGAAAGACGGTATTAGATTTAATTTCAATGTAGAACATCCGCCAGCCGCTTATACGTATTTCAACTTCATTAGGCCTGCCAACATTCAAGGTCATATCTGCAAAATTTAGTAAAATGACTTTATTGGATTACGACATGCGTAAACATATTATCTATGTATGTACAAAATGAAATTGTCCTATAAGCGTCGTAAGTCCCTTATTATATACCTAAATGGTTTGTTCTAACTGACTAAAAAGCCATGTTCACTAACATAAATTGTCCTATCTCACATATACATACTAAGAAAAATTATCCGTTTTAACTTTAAAAATGCAGTTAGGACTATTTAAGCTAGCATTGTATACTGCGCGGCATCATTTAGGGCAATTTTGCGTAGTATAACAGAAGCATGTTTGTAACATATAAGTCTAACATACGTATAACAACGTATACTATGTAAGTCCTTAAAAAATAAAGCACCAGGAACAGGGAACATACCAGCTGAACTAATAAAATATGGCACAACAAAATTATATGAAAACCTGGCTAAACTCTTTCAAAGATACATCAACGGAGCGGAAATCCCGAAGAATGGAAGACATCATGGATATCCACCATACATAAAAAAGGCAGACGGGATCAATGTGACAACTACAGAGGCATCGCTGTAACGAACTCGATCAGCCGAATATACGGAAAACTGATTAAAAATAAAATCGAAAACGAATATAAAGATATAGAAGCTGAAGAACAGGCAGGATTCCGGGCAGGGAGATCAACGGTAGACCATCTGTTTTGTATTACACAGATTATCGAGAAGAAACTGGCCGTCAACCAGGAGGTGCATCTGTTCTATGTGGACTTGAGAAAAGCGTATGATAGCATCCCACAAAACAAACTATGGGAAGCATTAGAGAAAACCAATATAAGCGCAAATTTAATAACAGCGACGAAACTGTATACCAAAACTGCAGCAAGGGTGAAAGTTGGAAGCGGACTATCGAGAGGATTCCAAATTAGCAAAGGCCTAAAACAAGGGTGCTGCCTTTCACCGACATTATTTAAGATCTACCTCGAGCAAACTCTAAAACTTTGGAAACGCAAATGCAAAAACATGGGATTACCGATCAACAACAATATAATATACACTTTGTCATTTGCAGACGACCAACTTGTACTAGCGCAAGAGTACGATGATATAGAATATATGACAAGGAAATTAATAGAGGAGTACAAAAAAGGTGGTTTGGAAATAAACATAAAAAAGACCGAATATATGTGTATCGGTGGGACACAGCAGGACCTTACACTGGGGAATGGCGAAATTATTAAACATTGCGACGCATATAAATACCTGGGTATGACCATCACACAAGAAGGAAACGTAGACCGGACGATAGAAGAAAGAAACAACCAGGGAAGAAAAGCAATTACCCTTCTCAATAGCATACTGTGGGACCAGGCAATATCAAACAACAACAAACATAGAATATACAATACAATTGTTAAGAGTATAATCACTTACAGCAGTGAAGTATGGCAAATAAAAGAAAGATACAAGAGAAAACTTGAAGCAACAGAAATGGATTTCTGGAGGCGCTCAGCAGGAAAATCAAGATTAAAAGGGTAACCAACAACAGAATTAGGGAAATAATGAATGTGAAACACACAATAGTAGATGACATTAGTACCAAACAGCTTAGATGGTATGGACACGTACAAAGAATGTCCGAAGAACGACTCCGAAACAAATCCTAACGTGGACCCCTCATGGTAGACGAAAAAGAGGAAGACCCCGCCTTAGTTGGAGAGAAGGCATAAATCGAAGTATGAGAGAAAGAGAATTAGATGAAGACCTTTGGATGGACCGAAGTGAATGGCGACTAGGCATCGGAAGACGTAGGAGAACGTTTTAAAACCGATATATATGTTTGTAACATAACTTCAAATAATTAATTATAAAAGGTATTTTTTTATTATTAGACATACTCATGTTTTTTAAGTAAATATATTGTGAGAAATGAATGATGGGTAAGTTTAATAACGTTGCCATAGGTATAAGTAATATTTGATTGTAATTATTGTTTGTAGTAGTAGCAAAAAATATAGATGCATATGGGTCTATATTCTTTGATAGTAAGCAGCATCACTTAGCCGGAAGGATATATGCAATATATGCATACGTACGGTATTTAGCCAAAAGTAAGAATAATCCAGATTATGCACCTGGGCTGTCTTATTAATTCGACAATCTGCCTTGTATAGAATTATTAAGAATACAAAGGCATTCACCAGTCTCATCTTGATATTTTGAGAGATAGATCTATCTTTCCAAACTTAAAAGTTACCATCGTCAGTTATACTAGACCCGCGATAGACAAAACTGTCCACTATCTGGTATTCCTGTAACATGTTACACAGTTGAATAGTGTGGAATCTGTCAACCACCATTATTTGTGTCTTAGCTTGTCTTGTTTTAACATTTCTTGCTTATTTGCTGCTATAAGTGTAGTGTCATCAGCAAATCTTAAATTGGAGATTCCTACCAGCCACTGTTACTCCACCGGCCCATCTATCTAAAGCTATCCTAATGACATGTTCACCATAAATGTTGAATAAGTCAGGTAACAACACGCTTCCTTGTCTAACACCTCTCTTGGTCTTGAATTGGTTTTAGAACTTCTGATTTAGTCATACTGTTGCTATATTCGACTGGGACAGATTTTTAATAAGTGTCACCAGGAACATTGGTGTACCCATTTCTATTAAATTATACCCCAAATTTATCCAGCTTACACAATCAAATGCCTTTTTATAGTCAACGAAACATATAATTATAGGTACTTGCTAATGTAGATGCTACAGGTTGTGTATGTAATGTGGTGATAATTTAAAGGTTCACTGCAAAAGAATTGTTTTATTTTTATAAATAAGCTATAAGCCATTTCAATTTCTATTGACTCCTTCATGAAGTCACTATTCCCTTGTATTACAGTGATATGATATTTATATTTGTGTACAAGCCTAATAATTTGGTTCGTAGTAGTGACTGGGGTATTATTATTATTAGGGTTTTTAGTTAAAAATGTATACAGGTTCACAAAATTCTTGACACCCAGAGAGTAGCCAGAAATTCAAGTAACTGAACAACGAGTAGCAGATCAATAGCGGGTTATTATAAAAAGCAATCCTATCCTAGAGACTAGATTCAATATCATCAGAAGAAAATTCGAACGGAAGATTAGTAACCCAGAGGTAAATGTGGATAAGTCGCTAATGAACTACATGACCAGATTCCTGAGCTTGCCATTCTAGAAATTCAACCTTATAATATACATCAGGACAACAACGAGTTACGCAATATCTTGATAAGTAAAATGGCACGTTCTGTAAAAGAGTTTAATGGAATAAACTTACTTAGCGACCACCAGTACAAAAAAAAAAAAATCTTCTAAAAAAACTAGGTGCTCTGTTACAAATTATGAATACTGAAGTTCTTCCCAATAACGTCGCAGAAGGTCAGACACTGGAATATTTGCACATGCTGGTTTACTGTGCAGCAACAACTAATATAATGGGAATTAAGACCAGAACACGACGGGATACCAATATCAGGAGGACAGATAACAGAGTTGTACCCTGGGAAAAACGACTTATAAACAAAATTAATATTATTGCGTAGGGATATTGGTCAAATGACAGAATATATACGAGGGATAATAAGTAGGAATGTCCTTAAAAAACTAACGAATAATGCTGAGCACTGCAAGATACTCGCAATATGATCCAGAAAACAACACAGCTCAAGAGTGCCTGGATACATTAAAACAAAATCTTTCAGTTTATTCAAGACGACTAAGCAGGTACAAAGTTAGTAAAAGCAGGAAATGTGACAATTTGCACTTTTGATTATGCCGAGAAGGCCTTTTATTGAAAACTTAATTCCACCGTCAAAAGTGCCAGTAAATCATACCCAAGCCAAGAAGAAGTTCAGGAGTTTTGGGGAAATCAACTTTCCACACCAGCAACTCTTAACAAAAATGCTGGATGGATAGAGAATACGACGCACAGCTGTCTACACCACCGTAAAGCTGTCTATAAACCCTTCACCACAGAAGAAGTCTCTAATATCATCAAAGAGCTGCATAACTGGACCAGACGAAGTTCAAAACTTCTGGCTTAAGAAGTTTTAGCGTGAACATGAGTGCTTGTCAATAGTAATTTATCATGTTATTTCTAATCCGCAAGAAATACCATCATTCCTAACTCAGGGAACAACTTATTTAATACCGAAGGATCAAAATAATACCCAAGATCCAGGCAAGTACCGCCCAATTACTTGTCTTTCAACTCTGTTGACTCATTAAGTTTTTGATCTAGTTTTATATTGTTTATTAATTATGTTTTCCTTTGGTAGATTTAGTAGATAATTTTAGCAAAAATAATTGTATCTCCATTATCCGTAATCTCCATTAAACAACTTTAACATTTCAACAGGCCACTTGTCCCAACCCGGCGATTTTCCGTTTTTATTCTTTTGGGCACATATATTACTTCTTGATTTTTTTATCTTTTATCAGCTATCATGAATTTCCAAACCACTTTTAAGAACTTAACTTGTATTTTAGATAATTATATAAATGTGATACTTGCAATTTAGTATACCTATATTGAAGGAAAAATGAAATAGAAACATAAAAAAAAGAACCCATTTTTTGCTTAGACCTAGCCAAAACATTAAATCTTATCAACTTCACAAAAATATCAATAATTATTAGATTTTTTTCAATATCTTAACATTATTTAAATTGGCACAAGCTTAGATTAAAGCTTTATATATTTTAATAAAATTGAATTTTAAAGAATAAAGCTTTTATTAATACTTACCAAGACAAAAACGCTGGTCCTGTAAAATGTTCATCAATATCCTGTTGGGTGAAATTTAATTTCTTGTATACTCGTTCCCAAATAGCCTCTTGTCCATTAAAGGCTAAAACTAGATTGAAAGAATTCAGTGCCATCCAATCTATATGTTTTTCCCATTGCTGCCAATTCCACCACACGAAACTGTAGCTGGTGGTGCAGGTGTTTTGGTAATATCTAAACCTAGAAACAAAGGTTTAAACAAAATTAAACATTTGTTTCGTTTTTTTTGTATTTATTACAATTAACTATGTGTATATTAGCTAGTGCCAGATGTAACAAACACGTAAAATGTTTGGAAATTTAAGAGTTACAGGAAAACAGGATGCATTTAATATGTATAAAAAAACAAAAGAAGTAACGGGTCAGTACAAAAAACATACAAATAACATCGTTGATAGAGATGGCAAACTGATTTTCACTGATTTGGATAAAATAGACACATGGAAAGAAGGAAAGGGTACATTGAGGAACTGTTTAATGATGAAAGGCCTGACTCCTTTATATGTATATTGTTTCTTGTATTTTGACTAGATATGTATTTTGGATTTTTAGAATTTTCTTTGTCTCTAGAAGAAAATACAAAGTGGTCCCCTTTGTTGGCAAATTATTTATTATTTAATCCGTAAAATAGTTTCGAAACACCATTCAGATTTCTGCTTAAAATCTGAGCCTTCTAAAAATTGCAAGGCAAACAGACGTTGATAAAAGATGTTAAAAGGGACATGGGGAATCTAAAATTTGCATTCCACGACATATCTTTTACAACTAAGCAGAAATCCTTAGCGAATTGTGCTTCTAGTACTCACACAGAGTATATCTGAAATAAAATGAAAAAGACAGCAAATATTCGATTTCACGCAAACAATCCCTATGTATCTGTTGATACGTATTTCGACCTAATAGGTCTCATCAGAACAGCTATTCGTAGGTGTTCTCAACGTGAAAAATCAATATTTTCTGTCTTTTAAGAAGCAACAATAAATGGCTTCAATACGGACGCGATAGCGACATCTAATTACAAAATCCGTAAAATAGTTTCGAAACACAATTCAGATTTTGCTTATAATCTGAGCCTTCCAAAAATTGCAAAGCAAACAGACGTTGATAAAAGATGTTAAAAGGGACATGGGGAATCTAAAATTTGCATTCCACGATATGTCTTTTACAACTAAGCAGAAATCCTTAGCGAATTGTGCTTCTAGTACTCACACAGAGTATATCCGAAATAAAATGAAAAAGACAGCAAATATTCGATTTCACGCAAACAATCCCTATGTATCTGTTGATACGTATTTCGACCTAATAGGTCTCATCAGAACAGCTATTCATAGGTGTTCTCAACGTTAAAAATCAATATTTTCTGTCTTTTAAGAAGCAACAATAAAATGGCTTCAATACGGACGCGATAGCGACATCTAATTACAAAATCCGTAAAATAGTTTCGAAACACAATTCAGATTTCTGCTTATAATCTGAGCCTTCTAAAAATTGCAAGGCAAACAGACGTTGATAAAAGATGATAAAAGGGACATGGGGAATCTAAAATTTGCATTCCACGACATGTCTTTTACAACTAAGCAGAAAGACATGTCGTGGAATGCAAATTTTAGATTCCCCATGTCCCTTTTAACATCTTTATCAACGTCTGTTTGCCTTGCAATTTTTAGAAGGCTCAGATTATAAGCAGAAATCTGAATTGTGTTTCGAAACTATTTTACGGATTTTGTAATTAGATGTCGCTATCGCGTCCGTATTGAAGCCATTTTATTGTTGCTTCTCTAAAAAACCCGAAAATATTGATTTTTCAAAAAGACAGAAAATATGATTTTATGTTGAGACACCTATGAATAGCTGTTCTGATGAGACCTATTAGGTCGAAATACGTATCAACAGATACATAGGGATTGTTTGCGCGAAATCGAATATTTGCTGTCTTTTTTATTTTATTTATTATTTGTTTTCTTTGTATTGTTTATCTCCTATTCTGGTTTAGTTCTAGTAGCTGTCGTCTCTACCGATTCTGGGCAACGTAGCCTCCTTCATTTTGTATGCCTTAAACACTGTACACTGTTCATCGTTGGTTGTGTTACAAAGTACATGATTGTCGTGTACTTGATATTTTAGTAGTTCTATGACATGACACTTACACGTTGACAGATGTCATGGGACGTTACTCACTTAATTACTTACAGAGTTACGTTATGTAGGTTACCACACACATGTTTTTATTAGTGAAATAAAGGAACATAAAATACATTCAACACCATTTTCATTACATTACACGTACGTATACAACAATGCTATTAAATAAGAAAATGATGTGTAATACCTGTAATAATATACGAAATAAAAATAAGAAACAAGCCACAATAGAAAAATATGTAAAACAAAAACGAAGATGTTCTTAATATTGGACGGAATAATTCTTATATAAACAGTAATTCTTCGTCAACTTTTTTTTTAGATAGCAATTTTGTGGTTTATTTCCAAAAAGAATATGAAAACTATTGGCAGGTAATTCGTGTAACCAAAGAGGAAAATAAACACTCTTAATTCCTTTTAAAAATGACGAAATGTAAATGCATCGTTTCAGTACGGATTTCCTTTCAAAAAAGCAAATCGATTGTTTACCTGTCATTCAACGTAATGGTAACATTAACGTCGGGTAATTCTTCCGGTAGATTCAGCTGTGAGGCCTCCCAGGAAATGTGAGCGTTACAAAAATACTTTAAGTAATGGTGGAATCCTGTCGCGACTGCAACTCCAGTAGTTCCGACGATGTTAATTACTCCGTTTTCCTTCGACACCTGCAAAACCGTAAATAATTATTTTTATGGCATCTACAAGTTGTTGCTTTGACAAATAAGACATTGTCTTTGTTTAAGGTTATTGGTTAAGTTGACTTGACTCCTTTCCCAGAAACAGTAATCGTTTATGCAGACTTCTAATATACGAGGTAGTCGATAATAAAAAATTTTAACTAATATATTTATATCAGTTAACATTTATACATATATACAGGCTGTAACAAAGAGGTAGGTCATAAATTAAATCGCGTTTTCTGGGACCAAAAATAGTTCGATTGAATCTAACTTACCTTAGTACAAATGTGCACATAAAAAAGTTACATCCCTTTGAAGTTAGAAAACGAAAATTGATTTTTTACAATTTATCAAAAACTGCTAGAGATTTAATATTAAAAATGGACATACGGCTTACTTATGGTAAAAAAGCCATATATTAACAAAAAATAACAGTGAAATTTATACACCCCATAAAATTTTTATCTTCCTTTAAACTCCCTCAAATCTTTGCATAAGTTTCAGTTAAATTATAATTGTGGTACCATTAATTAAACCCAATATTTTTAAAACTTTTTTGCCTTTTAGTACTTTTTCAATAAGCCAGTTTTTATCGAGATGGTTAGTTAAGTTAGGTTCGATCGAACCAGTCGAACTATTTTTTTTCCCAAAATACGTGATTTAATTTATGACCTATCCTTTTGTTACACCCTGTATATATATATATATATATATATAATATATATATATATATATATATATATATAGAAAAGATTAATAAGAGTTAATAGCAAAATAAAGTGTTAGTAGGAATCCGTATATCAAGGATCACTACAGGACCAATGCGACCATGAAGACTCTGGAAACCTCAGAGACTTTTACCATTATTTCCACAAACTGCCAATTGGCCGCACAGTACTGAAGACGACCCATAGTCAGAAATCTTAATACGGTTGCCTTCTATCTTATACATATATTTTATTATATATTTTTTTTTTGTTGCGAGCTATGCCGATCACTTGGAGAGTTGTGGGTTTTTTGATCAAAAGGTAGAGAATAAGACAAAGAAAGTGGCTACTTCATCTATTTATTCGCTCTCTTATCAGAGAACCTCATCAGTTCATCTAAAAGAGTGGGCAGTTGTGGGTTTTTCGGTCAAATGGTAGAGAATACGACAAAGAAAGTGGCTACTTAATCTGTTTATTCGCTCTCTAATCAGAGAGCATCATCAGTTCATCTAAAAAGAATAATATAAAAAAACCAATCATCCATAGAGAAGTTAGTACAAAAGTGTTACCTCAAAAAGACAAGGTATAAAATGTAAAAAATCTTGAGACATTGAACCATTGAATCGTTAAGTTGTAGAAACAATTAATTAAAAGTAAGTACAGTTTACAATTTAACACAGACTTAGAACAGCAAAAGAAACGTGTGGTTATCATACATGTAAATAAAAAAAAGTATGAAAAAGAATTATGTAAAAACCTAGTATTCGCCTAGAAACTAACAGGATCACAAGATCAACCTTCCAACAATAGAATATTAATTTAGTTTAATTTTAACTTTAGGTAACATTATTAAAATGATTGCAAAAGTTGGCAGTAGGAATCTTGTAAAAAAATGTATTAAAAGTTACCACAAAAAGCTTCTACACTTCTCAGAAAACTCGGCGAATTGGACCTTTTTAAAGCACATCGAACCATTTTGTGAAAGACAGTGTCCTTGAAGTCCAAAAATGACAATATAAGGCGAATTACCAACCGCTAATGCATTTGAGCGGTAAATTTAAAGATATGATATAGTAAGGAGAAATCCTTGTTTGTACGAAACATTATAAAGAAAGCAACAGATGCTAGGAAACACCATTTTACTTTCAAGGAATGGCTTGAAGAAAGACAAACAAGTGAGGCCGATCTTTCCATATCATAATACAAGTGACTATGTTGTAGCTGGTTAACCAGCCGCAGGTACAAATTTAATTCAACTTCCACAGTCCAAGGTTCATAATATTCTAGAACTGAGTAATTAATGAGAATTAAATGAAAATTAATTTAAAATTTTATTAAACCATTTCATCAAAATTTTTTTTCAGAATTGATAAATGAATCAATAAAATATTAGTTGAATAGTAATAATGGTTTAAGTAAAACAAAATTATTTGAATTTATTTCAAAGAGAAAATGTATACAAAAACACAGCGTAGGAGTAAAAAACTGATAATGCCCAATTCTGCAATATTATTGCATGATAAATTTGACTTAGGTTACTAATGTCCGTTCTCTTATTAAGAGCGTTAGGGTGTTTCAGTATCGAACACATTTCCAAAAATTGCCTTTTCACGAGATTGCGTTCGTTGCCAAGAATCCTAACTTTGTTAAAGTCCACCTTGTGTTTTGTATTAATAGAATGCTGAGCAAGAGCACAAGTATGCTAGGATAGCTTAATAGCAGTGCGGTGTGTCATAAGATGCCCCCTCAGTGATCTCCCTGTCTGACCGATATAGCACGAGTCACACTCAACACAAGGTATGTGATAGATAACGTTAACTTGTTCCAAAATGGACAAGGGTGTTTTGGTTTTAGAAAACAAGTTTTTGACCGTCTTGGCAGTCCTAACAGCAATTTTAACAAGAATGGTCATCAATCAATAGGTCAATAAATAAAAAAAAATTATATTTAACTTACCTATGCCACAAAAAAGTAGTTTCAGAAGCTCGCTAAATAGTTTGAGTGTTAAATACGTAAAAGAGAATTTGCCCTATGGCAGCCCTCGTATTTTTTACATTGGATCGTGTATTTAATGTATTAAGTCTTTTGACCATTAACCCAGGTAAAGGAAGAAAAAAAGGTGAAAAAAATCTTATACAGATATTTAAGTTCTAAATGGCATATGAGAAATACCTGATGAAACATCTGTGAAGACGTACTTTTTCTATGGTTTTGTTTTTTTTTTAAACAATCTTAAAAAGTAAACAAAATAATTGTTTGCTTATAAAACGCTTTTTATACATCCTAAAGAAAAATGATTCAAATAAAAGTTGTGGACCATAAAAACTAAATGGCCCTTATAGTAACATAATATGCCTAAGTATAGGTGAATTGCAAATCCAAGCTTACTGTAAGCTATTGGACGATATTAGGAATAACCTTTTATTTTGGCAATACATCTACGGTTTACTCTTGATAAACACCATCTTTTGCACCCTTTACGTAGAGAAAGACGTTGAAATGTAAGTAGTCTTAAAATTGCTTGTTCGTCTATTCGGTTTAAAAAGAGCACTGTTATTATGCTTCAGCTACAACGTTCACCAAACTTGGCCCACTTTTACTTTTCATGTTCCCATAACTAAACAAACATGAAAGGCCATAGGTTTGCAACGATTGAAGAGATAAGAGCCGTATATTTAAAAAAGCTGAAGGTATTATACCATGAAGTACATATTCGAAGTGTTTCCAAAATTAATAAAAAACCCTGGCACAAGTATATTATATTTGAGGAGGATTACTGTAAATGGTTAATAAAAAAATTCGAGAAAAATAATAAGTTACCTTTTTGTTGTGTACATTACCTTAAACGTTTCTTTGTTATTTTGTTTAAATGTTGGATCCACATTTACAGAAAATTTGTCAGCTTTAGTATCAAGTATCCTTAAAATTAAGTCCTTAACTGCTTGAGTTTGAACTGCCGCACTAGCTTTTGGTTTAATGTGTCCCAACGTCGTTTCAAAGTCTAAAAAGAAAACGGGGTTATTCAATAAATTAACTTTATTTTTACATTTTCTTCAGAATATCTCAAAGAATCTTATAATGTCATCTGAAAACTTGCACATTGGTGGTCATAAAAGTGACACGTTTTTCGATTGACAGTATCGTCTCAAGAAGCTTATCACACAGAGAGGTGGACAAGATAAATGGACAACATTGATATTATTGCCAAAACGAAATTTGGTAGTGTAGGCTTTAGCAGCCGATGTTTTGTAATTATGCATTGTTTTCGCGATTTATAGAGAGTTTCCTATGATTATTTCCAGATTGACCACTGCATATCAATCCCGTCTAAACAATACATCATTATAAACAGCTAGTCGTTACAAGTATATTTATCTTCAAGATATAAGATATTTTATATCTTTGTTATTACTTTCAATATTGATAATGGCTAATGTGCAATATATAATATTATTTGTTCTGATTCACTGACCTAATATTTTGTTTATCTTTAAACGATAAAATTTGTTTCATTGCAAAACTTATTTATACAAAACTAATCTTGTATGAATGGCCAGTGATGATTTCAAGAATATTAACATTTTGTATAACTGTGTTTAGTTTATAAATTTTACGCTTTGAGAATTTTCACGGAAAGTATGGAGTGGATGTGAGAAATAAAAGGGGAAAACACTGACTCAGTTGGCACATTACTGCCAACAATAACATGTCTATTGCAAATACATTTTTTAAGAGAAAATCGAACAGAATATGGACTTGGATATGGAATATGGTAATATTGGGAATATGGTAGCACCAAATAAAACTACTAAGAACAAAATTGACTTCATTCTAACCAACAAGATTGCTACAATAAAAAAATTCAGTATAATAAACGAATTTCAAACAGGCAGCCACCATAGACTAATCAGAGCAAACATTTTTCTAGATCTGAAACTAGAAAAAATAAATTTAATCACAAAACTAATAGTAACCAGTCTAAATATTTACAATCTAAAAAACTTAAATCACTACCAAAGGACAAATGATAAAAGATTAGATGGCCAAATTGGAAACTCTCAATTAATGGAAATCATCCTTGATAGTGCCAAAGAGATCGGAGGTCCGTAAAAACAAAATGAACATAGAAAACATAGTCAACATAGTAAACTGTCTGATAAAATCAAAATAATGCTAAAACAAAGAGGGTAATTGAAATTAAGTAGCAAACTACAGAGAGAAAATAAAATAGAACTTTGTAAGACAATAAGGAAACGTATTAAGGTAGACGTGTGGCGCACCCAGGGGGGTTTTTGGGGGGTTTAAACCCTTTCTCCAGGGCATATAAAGTAAAAACTATATAAGGAATAGTAGAAAAATGTAACTTTTCTTTCGCACACAATACAAAAAATCCAAAACGCTAATTGAATCATTAAATTACCACTTAAAATATCTAGAACACAATAATAATTATTATTACTTACACAATGATGTGTTCACAAGAGTGTTCACAATTACACCCGAGCAGTTATTAAAAAGAAAGAAAAAAAAAGAGATACACCAACCAAGCCAACGACAGAGATCAGATCTAAATACTATTTTAATGAGACTAAGCCGCAATTGAAGGTTAAAATACTGATATCTGAAATAACTGACATACTGAAATAACTGGTAACTTGTTTATATTCCAACAATTAATAGAAAAAATAATAGCGGTTGGTACCGAATGTGTAGAATGGTAGCGGTTCGTTGGTACCGAAGTACATCTAGCATCCATCGACCTAAAAAAGTCGTATGATACTGTTCCAAGACTTGTAGCAAGCTTTAGAACAAGTCGACATTAGTCCACCTAAACCTACTTACCTAAAAATCGGAAATAGACTATCACAGTCAATGAAAGTATAGTGCGTGCAAGCACTCCTGACCACGGCGCAGTAGACGAAATTTAGTTTAGTCCCCACTTCCATGCAAACGCATTGTACTATGCACTGTATAATTCCACTTACAATAGAACCTTTCCGCCTTTGCGTGAATTTGACTCCGCTTTCGCGCAGCTCCATGGTCAGGAGTGCATAAACTATCTATACCTAAAGGACTATAATAAGAATACAGTATTCACTGTTACTGTTTAATTTATATATTGAGGCAGCCCTCCAAAATTGGAAAAATTACTGCCAGGGAATGGGAATCCCCATAGGAAATGACGTACTGTTCTCCCTGAACTTTGCGGATGACCAAGTCCTCCTTACTCAATATTCTTATGATCTAGAATTTATGATAAAGCGTCTATACAGTGATTATGTAAAATGGGGGTTACAAGTCAGCATGAAGAAAACAGAGTATTTAGTTATCAATTCAGATGCAAGGTTTGAAGTGTTGATAGACGAGGACGTGGAAATCAAAAAAGTGGAAAAATTTAAATATTTAGGTACACTCATTGCTAAAAACGGTTTGGAAGAAACCGAAATTAAATACCGAATTAATCAGGGACTTAAAATTGTAGGATTTCTGAACACCTTATGGTGGGATCGCAACATTTCCAAAAGGAACAAAAAAAGAATAGGGCAAACCATGGTTGAATCAGTTCTTTGTTATGGATCTGAACGATGGACAATTACTGCAGACCTGAAGAGAAGATTGTTAGTAGTTGAAATGGATTATTTAAGAAGAAGTGTTAGAACATCAAGGCAGGAAAGAAAGACCAAAGAATGTAGAAGAATAATTGTACAAATAAAAGAGCAAGCTATCTTCAGAAGTGTTTGTGTACCATATATAATATCCATACGCTTTAAGATCTAATGAGTAGAAATAACGAATATGAAATACCGCTAGCATTAACCTTAATAGATTTCGAGAAGACTTTCGATTCTGTATATTCCAAGGCAGTAATAAAAGCTTTGACCAACCAAGGCATTGATAAATCGTATATAGAGACTTCAGCAAATATATACAGATAACAAAATTTAAGGTAAAAATTTATAAAAACATTTCAGAATTTCCCACAATCAGAGGCGTCCGACAAGGAGACAACTTGCAGCTCTAGAAACTCTAGACACTGCAACTCTAGGAAATATATTTAACAAAATGAACTGACAGAACAAAAACCTATCCATTAATCTATCAGCCATTTAAGATTTGCAGAAGACATCGTTCTGATTGCTAATAATCCTGCAGAACTACAAGAACTTATAAAAGCTACCTAAATGCAACTAGCAATGAAGTTGGGCTAAAAATGAACTTGACAAAAACAAAAACCACGTACACCGAGTTTGTGGATATCCACATGTAATAAATAATACTGCAGATGTAATAAATAATACTGCACTCGAGAAAGTCGACAAGTATGTATACTTAGGACAAGTAAAACATAAATCTGTCTCCTTACTCCCAGACATGAACAGACGAATAAAACTGGCTTGTGCATCTTTTAGTAGAAATGTTTATATATTCAAAATTCAAATCGAAGATGCCACTCCACCTGAAGAAAAAATCATTCGATCAGTGTATACTACCAAACATCACATATGGCTGCAAAACTTGGACGCTAAAGAAAGACATAATAGCGAAAGTCAAAGTCACTCAAATGTCAATGGAGGGTTGCATGATAAGTATAACACAGAGAGATTTGATCCCACAAAATCATACAAATAAGATGAATTTTGCTGATAATTACAATTTTAGGACTTTCAAAAAGTTGCAAACTAGTTTGTCACTTATCGTTCCCTCAAAAACAACGTTTGGAACGACCGGCAATTTTAGATATTAGTTAATGCGCGTGAAATCATTTTTTTAAATAACATTTGTAACAGCATGATGGAAAAAATTTCGGTATCGTTGCAATTTTTGAATTTTGCTGTAAATGAAGTAAATTTCTCAAAAACTGTTAAATATACGTTGGCGATTTTTGCCATTTTTTACGATTTTCATGAGACAAATAAAATTTATCACTTCCATTAACTGGTCGCTGTAGTGTAGAATTTCAATTGGTATAGCCTAATCTTTAAAGCCTATAGCTTTAAATTTCGATTTTGAGTTTTGTCAACAAATATGGGGCATTTGAAATATGCCTAAAAATGCTAAATTTAAACTTTCACATTCCAAACAAACCTCACGTCACGGAAAATACTTCTACGAAGATAACATTAGGTGCAATTTGTAGCTGATATTGTGTTGTATTTAAAAACGTACTTGTGCAATCGAAAAGAAGATGTAAAAATTTAAATTCCCGGTTTTTAGGCATATTGTAAATTCCTCATATTTGTTGCCAACATTTAAAATCGAAATTTGGGTTTTGAAGATTAGGCTCTAACAATGGAAATTTCATAGTGAGGTGTCAATGGTAGTGATAAATTTCATTAATTTTATGAGAATCGTAACAAATTACAAAAATCGCGCAGTAAAACACAAAAATTACGTAAGCCATCTGCGCTCTTCACATTTAATCTGCATTTTTATTTTTGTCAATAGGAGACTATGATAAAATTTTATTTAAAAAATTAATTTTGCATGCGTAACTAACATTCAAAATTGCCGGTCGCTTCAAAGTTGTTTCTGAGAGATCGGTGCATTCTACATAAAAAGTGGTAATAAACATTTTTGTTAACAATTATCTCAGCTACATTTCGTGTCGAAAACACTTTTTTCTACGGCGTACATATTCTTGGTAAATCGATGTTTTCTGTTCCCCCTTCCCCATCCCACCAACCCAGTGGAGTTTTACGAAAATCCCAGAGGTATTACGTATACGATGTTAGGATTTTTATGTTTCAAATGTTTTTGTACTCAGCAGTTGGTACAACTGATTTTATAAAAAAAGAAGAAGTTTGACTTGACATATAACCTATATATGACAGATGTATCCATGTGTGAAATAAAAAACAAAAAGTAAAAATCTTTATTCATCATACAATCCAATACCCTATGGAGTACAAAAAACACAACATTTGTTGGTCCTTCGAGCCGTGATACATCCAGAAACAGCTATTTTCAAAAAATATCCACAAGAACTTATAAAAATTCAGA